CTGAAATTCTTGGGACCAGAAGTGTTTCAGATTTTGGTTTGAAATCCACTTGATCTGGAAAGAGGATGGCTACTCCTAGTTTTTGGGGGGTTCCTGTTACATGTAGTATTGTTTTCCACCCTTTAACTTCAGTCTATGAGTTTCTTTTTAGTAAGTGTATTTCTTGTATGCAGCATATTGTTGGATCTTGTTTCTTGACCCATTCTGCCAGTCTATTTCTTTTGATTGGTGAATTGAGACCATTAACTTTGATGGTTACATATTGACTTATCATTGTCATGACTTTTTCTTTTTGTTGGATTCTCCCCCTTTGCATTTAATTTCTTGTCATGCACAATGAATTCATTCTGCTGAGCTTCCTGGGGTTGTGATCCTCATTGTCTTTTCCTAGGGTATTGTCTAAAAATTTTTGGAGTGCTGGTTTGGTATTCATGAAATTCCTAAGGTGCTCTTTGTCATAAAAGTATCTTATTTCACCATCGATTTTGAAAGATAGTTTTATAGAGTACATCAGTCTGGGTTGGAGGCTGTTTTCCTTTAGGGCTTGAAATACATCACTCCAAGCTCTTCTTGTCCTGAGGGTTTGCACTGAGAACTCTGCTGCGATTCTGATGGGCTTTCCTTTGTAGGTGATTTGTTTCTTTTCTCTAACCGTTTGTAGAATTTTGTTCTTCTGTTGGATTTCTGGAATCTTACTATTATATGCCTATGTATAGATTTTTTTTAATCATGGCTAGTTGGAGTCCTATATGCCTCCCTTATCTGTATGTCAAATTCTTTTCCTGTGCTTGGGAAGTTTTCTGCCATCACTTCTGTGAACGGATTTTTATGTTGTGTGTACTCTCTCCTGTTTCTTCATTGACTCGGATCAGTCTTATGTTATTCTTCTTTGCATCGTGTAGCAGCTGCTGGATTGATTTCTCATGGTTCCTTACTATTTTAAAGAAATTTTTCTTTTCCTGATCACTAATTGAAATCTAATCTTCTATATCTGAAATTCTGTCCTCACATTGGCTCATTCTGCTGTGTAAACTTTCAATGGAGTTTTTAACCTCCTGGAAATCCCTTTGGATCTGTTTCATGGATTCCATTTGTTTCCTATGTTGGGATTCCATGATATTCCTCAGCTCCTCTATTTTTTAATCTGTGTCTGCTCTAGATTTATTAATCATGTCTTGCACTATGAGTCCAATCTCTGCTGCTCTCTGAGGAATTATTTCTGATTTCATTTTTTCCAGATCCTCTTTTGTTGCCAGTTCAGGAGTCCAGGTGGTTGAATATCAGATTGTTCCATCTCATTTCCCTTTGGGGTTGCCTTAGGTGATCTGGAAGTCTGGTTTTGAGAATTGTTTATGTGTCTTCTCATTTCAACAGATGCAACCTGTTGTGCCTTTGTTGAGGCAACTTTTTACTCATCCAGGGGTCTTCAATTCTTAGCAAGCCACAGAGCTGCATTTTCTCTGCTGCTCACCAGAACACTAATTCCTGGGTTCAGAAAGGTGGCCTTCTGGATCCCTGAGCTGCCCTGTTGTCTGGGTGGGCTTCTGGCTGGGGCCTGTGCACACTTGGGATAATATCTAGGTGTGCCAGTGGCTAGGGCCCCTATATAGCTGTTGTTTGGGAGGGCCTTTGGCTGGGGGCTGTGCACCCCAGTTCTGTTGTGTGAGCAAGCTTCTGGCTAGGGTCTCGTGTACTTACTGATGGCATTGGGGTGAAACTCTGGCTGTTGCTTGTGTGCCTGTGCAGCTCTTTTCCAGGCAGGCCCTTGACTTGGGCCAGTGTGCTCCAGCCTCTGGGGTTGGGGCGGAGGCCTGGCCAGGATCTGCTTGCAGCCACACTGCTCTGGTCCACACCGCTGCTCCCCCAACTGAGGTGGTCTAGTGTGCCTTTATTGCAGAGATTTTCTTCACTTTTCTGGTGGGCTTTCATTTTCATCAAGGGGCCTCAGAGAGGCACTCTTTCTGTTGTTCACTTCTACTCTATCTTCTCAAGCTCAGAACAATATTCTTTATGACCCCTGCAACTCTGCATTGTAGATCCAGGTAATGGCTCGGCCCAGCTGGTGGAGGAGGGGTGCTGGCTCCCACACGGCTCACCTCCTTGGCGTTCTGCGGCAGTGGTATGGCAGCCCAAGAGGCTCACCTCCTTGGTGCTCTGGGGCGGTGGTCAATAAATAGAATTTTAAAAATAGTATTGGCTCAGGTCATGACAGTAACTGAATTCTGTGGTTTCTGCATTGTGAAGAGCTCCATGGGATTAACTACATTTTTTAGTTACAGACCCTTTGCTTTGAATTAGGTTTCAACCAATTTAAAATGACCTTCATGTTTGATAAATGAATGAAAGAATATATAAATTTTAGTTGAGGACATTTGGTATTTTCTTATATAATATGAGAATTATTTCATTCATTGTACTCAGGGCTGTGCAGTCAGTAACCCTGCATATAGTTTCAGCATGTCTAATTTGAATATCTGAAACCTGAAGTGCTTCCAGCTCCAAAACTTTTGAGCACCCAAAGTTCTGGATTTTGGAGCATTTTGGATTTCATATTTTCAGATGAGGGATGCTAACTGGCAAAGTCTATGAAAATATTCCCAAATCCAAATATGAAACACTTCTGGTCCCATGCATTTTGGATAAGAGGAATTCAGCCTGTATTTAGAAAGAGAGATCTATTTTGTATATTTTAAAAATTAATTCTCCATCTGTATTTGAAAAGTAATTAATGATTTGGTTAATTTGCCACAACTAAGAGAAACTAATACATTTGAGAAAGCACTGGATGTTGAACCATGTACAATTTAATCTTGTAATTAATTATGAAGGCTTTGACACATAACTAGGAGGCATGGCATGGTTAACAACATACTTAAAGGATTTATTTCATAAGCATGAACTTTGGGTTCCAAATCCTCTCAAAACCAACACCTGTCCTAACACCGTGACAGGAGAGCACTGCTCATGACTGACTCGATTATGCTTGCTTCCACTAGCTCCCAATTCTTCCTCCTTTGTGCTGTGACTGCTACGCATTTTACATCCATAAATGTTATAAAACTCAGCACTACAGGGCTACAGTTTTTGCTTATATAATCTTGTTAAGAGAAGAAAATCTTTTGCAAATAGGAAGAGGGCCAAGACATGGAGCGAGGTGTAGGGAGGAGAAGGGGACGTGAAAAGAATCAAGATGTGACCCCAATTCCCCACTGTGAATGTAACCTTATGTATTGCAAACATGGATTAGTGAAAATATAAATTCAAACAATTTCTTAAATATTCTTTGTATTTACCATGCATGGAAGTTTTCATTGTGTGTGTTGGGGAATTGAATTATCTTTTGATATTATTTCCTGACGAACTTCCTTTGCTATATCTTATTAGGCAGATTTACTAGCAAGTAACTCTCTCACTCTATTTCCCTGAGAATATATTTATATTACCTTCATTTTTGGAGGATAGTTTTGCTGAGTATGGAATCTATGAGGGTTTTCCCCCAGCACTTTGACCGTGTTTCTCTGCTACCTTCTGGGTTGTTTCCTGTTTGTGTGAAGAGCCCTTCATATGTTGCTTCTCCTAAGATTGTCTCCTTGCTTTTGGGTGTCAGCCATTTGCCCAGATGTGGATCTCTCTGCCTTAGGGTTTGCTGAGCTTCTTGGATCTGGAGATTAATATTTTCCGTCAAAGTTTGGAAGATTTCAGCCAAGATGTCCTTGACTATCCCACCCGCCCCTTTCTCTCTGCTTTCCTCCTCAGAGTCCTGTTCCCCATATGCCGGGACAGGTGAGGTGGTTCTGCAAGCCTGGGCCTCCTTTTCTCTGTTTTTTCCTCCTTCTTCCAAAGATTGAATGCTTTCTATTGTACATCTTCAGATCCACCCGTTCTTTGTACTGCTGTCTCCTATCTAGTGCGGAGCCCAGCTAATGACCTTTTTTATTTCCAGTATTGTACATAGCAACTCCAGAATTTCTATTTGCTTCTTTCTACATCTTTGTATTCTTTTACTGAGATTTTATTGCAGAGTCATTGTCATAAGTTTTCCCTTTTAATTCTGTAACCATAGTTTTAATCCTTTGAGCCTATTTATAATATTTGCTTTGAATTCTCTGTAAATCCAACAGCTGGGCCCTCTCAGCGTCAGTTTTCATTACTGACATTTCCTCCATGAGTATCCATCACACTTTTTTGTTTCTTTGTATGTCTCATAAATTTCTTTGAAAATGAGTTTGGATAATGTATTAAAAGAATTCTGGATTTCTTGTAATTCAGGGTTGTCTCCTTGTGATTATTGCTGTTGTTTTTGTTTATTTTGGTAAACTTCCTAGGCTTTATCTGCAGAATTCATCTACCCTGTGCATGTGGACGCTGATGTCTCTGTTATTTGTTTTTAATTCTTATTTCTCATTCTTTGCCTGCTTTCCTTGAGGTTGCCCAGCTTTGCCTACAGCTTGCTGGTTTGCCAGTGAGCAGGCCAAACTTAGAGTCAAATGCCCCAAGCCCAGGATGCCTCCCCCTTCTGCTGAAGGCTGTGCCTGGGTGAGTGGCACCCCAGAAATGAGACCGGGTCTGGTCAGAAGAGGCTGTCACTGTGGGAGTGACCCGGGAGGGTACATCTCCCTTCCCACCTCTTCCCTTGACTCTCTGCTTCCTGTCTGCCTTGCCATGAGCAGCTCTCCTCTGGCCTGCCCCTCTGCCAGGCAACCCTGTCTTGGAGCCAGGTAATTATGGACTGATCCTCCACAAGCCATGAGCCAAAAGCAACCTGTCCACCTAAGATGTGAGTGTCAGGTATTTTTATGACAGCAATGAGGAAAGTGACTAATATACCGACTCTTGTCATCTTTGGGTTATACATTATGTTTCAAAATGTTGGAAATCCACCCGTATGTTAATTCAGTAACTTGAAATTGAGGACAAGTCCTTATTTTAATGGATTAACCAGATTATTTAATTTTTTCAAAGTTACAATGACAGTTCTTGACTGACTCTGATTCTTACAGGAACATCCAATACTAGGACAACCCTTTTTTGTACTTCACCCTTGCAAGACCACTGAATTCATGGCTCCAGTATTAAAGAATTCCCAGAAAATCAATAGGTAAGAAACACCTTCGAGATACATTGGCCTCTTCTCTGATTTCAAAAGTGTAAATCTTTTTATGTGACTCTAAAAGCCAGGCTGAAGAAGAAATATTCTTTGTAATAATAATAATAGCTAACATGTATTGATTTTTTCTGTGTGCTAGGTGTTGTTCTAAGAGTTTTAGATATATTAGCACATTGGATTTTTATAGCACCCTATGAGCTAGGTACCATTATTTTACCCAGTTTACAGAGGAGGAAGCCAGAGCAGAGAGGAGCTCAGTCACACGGTAAAAAGTGGTGGGGCTGGGACTTGCATCCACAAGTATCTATCTCAGAGCCTGGCTCTCAGCCATTTCGCTCTGCGGCCTTCATCAATGCCAGCAATTTCAAGTGGAGGCCTTTTGTCATCACAGGGAGTCAGGAACCCTGTGTCCAGAGCCCTTCACCTCCCTGAGGGAGGGGTCCTCACATGCTCTCCGGTCCTCAGCTCCTTGTGGGTGAAGGGTCTGGCATCTGGATGGGAGACTCCAGGGAGGTCGAAAGCCTCATTTCTGTCCCTGCTGCTGCCCGAGTGGTTTCCACCGTTCATCCAGAAGCTGTCACAGAGGCAGTAACGGTGCCTGCATCTCCTTCATTTCCCAGAACCGTCAACTACATCACATCATGGCTGAGCATTGTGGGGCCGGCTGTGGGGCTGAATCTACCTCTGAGTTATGCCAAGGCCACCTCTCGTGATGAAGATGCTGACTGAAGGGTAAGCAAAGTGTGTGTGTCAGGGTCTGCCGTCACGGTGTCCCTGCTGTAAGGCAGGTTTGCTGTTGGCATCACGGGCTGAGTGCTGCTCTGCTCTTCACTCATCCAGCAGCACCCACCTGGTGCTTTAGGAAGCATTGGATTGGATGGTTTCATTTTAGTATTGCTACTCTCGAAATAAGTCTTTACTGCTTGGTGAACCTTTCCTACCTCTTGGTTCTTGTTTTGTTCTTGCTCTCAGATTCTCCTGTTGCGCTCAGCATTGCGGCAGGAAGAAATCCCTCAGCGTACCTGGCCAGCCGTTCTCATGCCTGCGCTGTGCAGCATTCCTGCCACCGCAAGGCCACATGGGTTGCTCCCCCTGGAAGAAAATGCCTGCTGCAACTGATATTTGATATATTGAATGTTTAGAAGAGTCCTGTCAAGAACTCTTATTATCTAGAGGTAACAGTGGGCAGTATTATACAGATACTCCCAGAATGCTCACCTTTGTATATCTGATTGTTACTTGCTCAGTCTGTAAATAAGTTTAACAGCCAGTCAGAGCTCAGATGAGCTCATCTGGAAGGATTGTCTGCTTGCTTGGTTTCTCTGTACATTCCAAGGGACCAACCCTGGGGAAGTCTAACTGGCTCCTTGGACTGCCTGGACTCACTTTCCTCAGTGAAGGGTGCAGGAGGCAGCATCACTGGGGCTGCAGATGCTGGCCACTTCCCGAAGCAGGCTCTCAAGTGACTCTGTCGCCCACCCAGGATCCCGGAGGGGCTGGCCTGGACCTCCTTGTGCGGTGGTGCTGATGTGTTTCACTGTCCGCCAGCCCCTTCAGGGTCTGTGCAGGGCGCGCTCCCTCCCCGCTGTCTGCTGGGGCAGATGCTCCTTGACTGTCTGTGGGGCTTCGCCCTGCTGCACCCACGGCCAGGTGAAAGCGTCCTAAGCTGCAGTGCATTTGCTCCCCTGCCCTGTGAAGGTCACGGCTGAGCCTCACTTGCCTCCCTTGTGCTCTGAGCTCTCGCCGAGCTCCGGGTGGGCGAATCGTGAGCACAAAGCCCCTCACAGAGCGCTGCATCCCCAGGCCACGCAGCAGGCCTTGTGTGGTGGTGCAAAGCAGAGCCAAAATTCGACAGCACCTACCACACTCCAGGAGTGGGCGGGACTACGTGTCCCTACTGGAAACAGCCTGTTCTGAGGGCAAAGGGCAGCTCCTGAGTGACAGTGGACAGTGACTGGCAGGGCCGGCTCCCAGGCTGCTGCCGCTCCAACACAGTCTCTCCCCGACTCCCACCGAAACGTGATTCCCAGGGCCGGGTGTGTGGACAGTGGGGAAGGCACGGCTGGACAGTAGGCTGGGCAGCCCGCCCCAGTCCCTGCTGGACACCACAGAGCAGCCAAGGGCTTGGGGCGGAGTAAACTTCTTTCCTTACAAACTACCCGCTCTGCAGTGTTGGTCACAGCGACAGAGAGCGGACCGGACGAAGACCGTGGCCCCGGGGGTCAGAGATGGTGAGGGGTCCCCCCGGCGGACCCCGGCCACACCGGCCTCCTGCAGCCACAGTACAGTGGGGGCGGCAGAGGCGGGAGAGGGTTACCACAGACTGCTGGAGGCGGGCGGAGCCCTGAAATGCCGCGCTGCAACGCCCAGGCTCAGCCCAGAGCGCTGTGTGCTTGCTGGCACTTTGGTGTTTGCCACTGAAATGCTTTCAGCTTCTTTGAGGGGTTCCCCTCCCTCTCCTCCCGTAAACGCAGACCTCTCGGCGCCCTGTATTTCCGGTGTGAGTACGCGTATACGTGCGATTAATGTGCCGTCCAGCCGAGGCCCGGGTCAGGAATCCCGGCTGTCTGGTGCCAGCCGTCCTAGGTAGCAGATTCTGATCGTCTATCAATTTGAGACCAGTTTTGTTTTACTGAAAAGTTTAAAAAATATTTGTTTCTCTCTGCTTAATGAAGACCTAAAGCTTCACTAGTGGCGCCGTGGAGCCCGGAAGGCCTGTACCCCCGGGAGCTCCGTCTGCTTCCCAGCTGCACATTCAGGATTTGCCCACTTAAAAATCTCCTAATGTTTGGTTGATAAAAACAAATGTCCCGCTTTAAAAATGCGGCTGCCCTGGCGGCTGGAGCCGGGCGGCCAGTCCGTGTCTGCTCCGCGCTGACACCGAGAGGCTTCCCCTGGCTCCTGGTGCCCCCGCGTGGGTCGGGCGGTGCCACCCCAACCTCTGCGCCGTGAAGCTGGGCCGCTCGGGCTGATTTTCTCCCTCTCCTTCCTATAAAATGACGCCCGCAAAACAGCATAAAGCTGAATGTGCTACGTGAAGAGCTCAGTGGGATCGGGCATGGAGGCCGCGGCCGCGCTCCTGGGCATCCCTGGTGCTCCCCGGCCTGGCCCGGCCCGTTGATCACATTCGTTCCCCACAGCTCTGGACCCAGTTACTTCAACCTAGTCTACAGGATCGCAGTAAGTTTTCCAGGCAGGCCTGGAACCCACTAGGTGGCCCAGGCTGGCCTTGAACTTGCGGTGGGTGATCCTCCTGCCTCAGCCTCCCGAGTGCTCCACCACACCAGGCTTCCTTTGTCACAAACCCAGCTCAGACCAGGGGAGGCCCGGATGGCCAGCTGCCTGTCTGTTGCTCACTATACTCGGGCATCATGAGCTTGGCAGCGTCCGGCCTTCACTGAGCCCTCCTCCTGTTCAGAGGCCAGAGTCGGGATTTCCCGAGCCGACCCTTCAGGGATGGCACGTGTGCACAAGAGTTGCAGCCTGGGCTCCCTTGGGCTGGTCCCTGGCTAGGAGCAGAGGCCTGGGGGACTTAGACCCAGCAGAGCAGAGGCCCGGCCCATCGGTGGGCCGCTGCCTAGGAGCAGGAGGTTGACAGAGCAAAACCGCGGCCTGCCTAGCAGGAGCTAAGATCTGGAGGAAAACAAGGTCAGCGGTGAGTTTCCTCCTCTCCCTCCGTGACAGGGACAGGTTTAGCTGGTTGTGAGAGCCCGGCCCTGCACCGTTCACAGAGCTCCTACTCCGAGGGGGCTTTCATCTGGGGTCACAGTGCCAGAGGAGGTGTATGAAGTGTCCTCGCGGCTGTCTGTCACGCCTGTGCCAAGTGAAAGCCCTCACGGATGTGGGTCAGCTCTGTCTCCCCGCCCCCCCTCTTTCTCTGAGCCCCAGGCCCGGGCAGGGCCCGGATGCAAGGAGGAGCCCTGAGCTGTAAGCTTGGGGACAGCAGGCTGCTGGTGGGTGGAGATGTGAGAGGGCTTCAGGGAAGCGGATGCACGGAGCCTTGCAGAGTTTAGGCTTGGGCAGGCCCTGAGAACCTGTTCTCGTGCGCTACCTAGGAGGAAATGTCACAGCCCGGCTGGTCTGCCGGCGTATGGCTGTGCTTTCTTTAAAAAAGCGGATTGCATTGCACATAGGAAAAGCAGTGTCATTTGGTGAGACTCTGGCTCCCACCATGGTCATTAATCACATTTCATGGGTCACGTTCCGTGTGCTTGCTCAGGCGCACGCGCAATGCCCCGCTGCACACCCAGGCTAGAGGTACACGCTTCTCTATGTGGTCTGTCCTCACCCAAGTGCCGACACAGAATGTGACTGTATCCTTATGTGTGAGTGCACGTATGTGGGTCCACAGTGTGATGTCATTGAATAAAAACCATTCAGTACGGTAAAAGACACATTGCCATGAATCCCCTCAAAATCCTCCCCCTTTGTTTGGACACACTCATCCACGGTTCTTGCTGCTTTCTGCAGCAGCTCCGAAGTCCTATTTCGTGAGGGTCTTTAGTTGTACTGTCCTGGCTGCCTTCATGTCTAGAATGCATTCAAAACCTTTCCCTTTCACGCTCATTTGACTTTGGGGAAGAATCAAAAGTCGCAGGGTTCCAGGTCCCGCAGATGAGGTCACAGGGCCGTGTTTTTACTAGCCTGCCGTTCCATTAGATGGCGCTGGGCGGCAGCATTCACGTATTTTTTTTATCACACCTCAGAGAGACACTCAGGAAAGAGGACTCTCCAGGACTGCTGCAGAAAGTGTAGAGGGCGATGGGATGAGCGCCTTTGAAGTGAGGGGACAATTTTGGGGAGGATCGTGGCAATCTGTCTTCCATTGTAATCCATGCTCAGATTTATCGGTTCGCCAGCCATCTACTTTGCTCCCCCTGCTGGACGGAATCTGCGCCTGTGTAGGCGGGCACACGTGTCTGTGTGCACACGGGCTGCTTGGCAAGGGAGCAGAGATGTCAACCTGGTGCACAAACCAGCTCCCTCCCTCGCTGAGAGCCTCCCATCTCCTGCTGCCCCAGCCTCACTTGCTGGGGACCTCTCCAGAAGGAACCGAAAGTACCTAGCTATGCTTGTACCGGCCCTGGGCTACTTTCATGGGCAGATGCATCTCTGAGACCGCTCCTATGGGTTTCTATAGGGCTCATCTGTGAAAACGTTTCACATTTTCGGTCTTAAATTGGTTAGTGTTCTTTAAAGCAGTACTTCGATGTCAGGCCCTCGCACCGATTTACCTTTCGTGTTGTCAGTAGCGACATCTAGTGGTCCCGTCCTGAGCACCCTGTTTTCTCCATCTTTAGAACCTAAATGCGGGGATTTTAGAGATCACCCAAGTTCCATTTTATAAATGATTAAATATGAACTGAAAATTCATGTCTTATATTCAGATTCTCACCACATAATAAATATTACCATGCAACTCTTCGAATAAGCCACTACGAACCATGAAGTGGACAAAGCCTGCCCTGAGACGTTAACAGGAAGTCTCAGCTCAGTACATCTAGGGCTTTGGCACATTATTTGCATGGTGCCTGGTATTTGGTAACACTCCATCAATTTCTGTTCAGTGTTTGAATGTGTGGGTGATCACAGAGCCCAGGGAGAGAATCCCAGCCGGTGTGGGACTTGAAGGAACCATGGAGAGTTAGTAAGAGTAGAAGGTCAAGACCATGTAAGGTAGGTGCCGTGGCAGGCTGAAAATGGACCCAAGAATGGGATCCAACACACACCCTCCAAGGGTGACTATGTGGAGTTTCTAGGGGACTCATCGGGTGAGGGTTTATTGGATAGATTAGAAAGAAGAGAGACTGGATGAAGGGCAAGAAGCCAAAGTAGTAATGAGATGGGGAGTTCCCAAGTTAGGAAGGGGACAGATGAAAGAAACCAGTGCCCTAGACCAATGTAACAGACCTGTGGCGCACACTCCACGGCGGGCTGTTTGTATCACTGAAAGCTCTACAGGGTTCGCCGTCACCACCCTGGACCCTTTGAGGACAGGAGCTGGGTGAGAGAGAGGACGGGAAGCCCCTGTTCCTGTCTCTCGGGTTCCATAGCGGGGTCCTTACTCCAGCTAAGGTGGCTCCCCTTTCCCCACTCCGCAGCACCAGGGGCCAAACTTGTGATCTGCTGGGGAGAGCACCCACCCTGTCCTCTAAGATCGCTTTCTCCAGTGCAAGCAGCAGAGTGAGATGGACAATCTCCAGAAGCTCCTCCTTCAGTAGGTCCAGAGGAAGAGTCCCCAGCCTCTTTCCTTTCCGTGAGACAAGATAGCTAAACAGTTAGGGGCACTGTGCAGCCAGCTGCCCAGAGGGAGTGGATTTTCATCTCCATGCCCAACATGGGCCAATCCCTTGAACACAAACCAGACACCAGCTGCAGGCTGTGGTTTGAATGTGTCTCCCAAAGATCCATGTTGGGAGTTAGTCAGCACTGAAACAGTACTGACAGGACAGACTGAAAGGAGAGGTTAGGTCATGCTAGCGAGGGCCAAAGCTGCCTCCTGTGACTACTGTCTCACTGTCTCACGTGCTGCTTCCCACCAGGAAGCCCTCATGATACTGAGCTGCTGAGCTCCGACTTCCCAGCCTCCAGAACCATGGGCCAACAATTCCTGGTCATTACATAGATATATGTATACATATACTGCGCAGTGGGCCAGCCTTCTGCTCATTATCAATTTCCCAGTGTGGGGTTTACTGGAATAGTAACATAAAGCAGGTCAAGACACTCTGCATGCAGCTTACTTATGCACACGGTGCTGATACCACAAGTTCTCCTCTGCACCATGGACCATCGAGGCATGAGAAAGACCTGGTGTGGGAGGAAGCACCCCAGCCTCCTCCAAGGACCATTACCCCGAGGGACTGCAGTGCGGGCTAGGGGAGGCCTGGGCTCTTCCTCTAAGCCTGCAGGTATTCACAAAGATCACTCCAACATAACTGCAGCTAAAATGTGGGTGGATTTCTGTATTCTCATTTAAGCATTGAATTAGGGTCTTTCTGCATATCTATTTTTTCGATTTCTGTTTTCATTCGTCTGTGTTTGCAGCACATAATGATTGCATTCCTTGTGGGGAGTCAGTGCATGGACCCAGCACATCTTCATTCTTTTTAGCGCCCTGTTCTCCCCTCTCTCCCCCTTCCTCCATCTCCTGGTCTCCTTCCCATTTACAAAAGATCTATCTCCCTGACTCCTATTATCTACCTTTTATTTTGCTCTGTAATTTATTTATACTTTGGGTTTCTCATATAAGAGAAATCTCTGTATATGGCTTTATACTCTTACATTTTTCAATTGAAATAATGTCTGCAACACTTCCCCACATTGTTTGAAAATATAACTTAAAATGACTGATTTCTCTATCAAACTAGACCAAAGAGTTCTCCTGTCCTCTATTCCCAGCTCCTTGCTCTGCATTTAACAGACATTCCCAAACCCTGGCTGGCTTCGTTGCCCGGGGAGGCAGGGGTCAGTAGGGCCCATGAACCCTTCTGCCAAGAACCTGCAGGCTGCAGTGCACTGAGTGCTCATGCTACAGTGTACCAGGCACTCACCCTGTGTCTCTCTGGGTTCTCTGTCACTAAGGGAAGTGAGGATCAAACAGTTCCCAGCTACTGAGGCACATTGCTGACCTGTTCATCAGTGAAGCTGTACCAGTTACAAATGTACATTCCCAGCGGCAGTATGTGCCTTAACATTTCCTTAAATCTTTGAAAATACAGTGGACCCTTGACTTAGGAACTCAATTTGTTTTCAAGGGCTGCTTGTAACTCAAGTTGGTTGTAAGTCAAGACTATTTTTCCCATAAGAAATGGAAATACCCACAAGGCATTCTGAACCTCCCAAAGCCCCCCTTAACTAACCTGTTCATAATAAAAAGGGTGTAATGTGCATAATTTACCAAAAACACCAATAATTTTCCCAGTGTATCCACTACAAAGTTATAAAATGTGCCTCATTTACCAGAAACAACAATTTCATACCGCACTCACCACTCAAGTTGACATCTTTGGCTTGCAGGGAGGGAGGATGAATGGAAGGTGGTTATTGTTTGGAAGGAGAGACCCCTTCCAGAAGAACATCAGGAATCTGGCTCCCTGGTGTCCTTTCTCTCCTGGGGAGAGTCTGCAGCCCACTAGGACCTGCGTCTGGCTCACTAGGTCTCAACCTTTTCAGAACTGAAAACTGGTCTAAGGCTGTCTGTTTCTGTCTTTTCTTCAACACTGTTTCGTAGTACGTCATGGCATTGTCATTAAGCAAGTGAACACAACAATTGGCTTTTCCTCTCTCTGGGTGGGTCTTCTCTACAAATGTTTGTGGTTCTGTCCATTTTTCCAGGATTTCCTTTATTTCAGAAGAAGAACTTTGCTGCACTGATTGTTGATACTCCCCTCCTCTTGAGAAAGCTCCTCAGCTGCCATTCTCTGTTGCTCAGTCACTAGTTGCTGAAGCTCCTCTGTGGACAGTTCCTCTGCGTGTCCATCTAGCACTGTTGATCGTGACTTACTGATTTGAGTAACACCTTTGGCACCACTGGCTTCCGTATACAAACCTTTTCTCTGTAAGATTGTTGAGATGGTGGATTCCGACGTGCTGTATGTATTAGTGAGATCGGTCACGTGAATGCCACTCTCATTTCTCTACAAGTTTCTTCTTCCTTTTTATTGTGACTGCTTTCTTTCCCTTCCCTTCCTTCCTTAGCTTCTTTTCTAGCTTTTTGGGGGCCATTTTGACAGCAGTAATCATAGGGATTATATAGGGCACTGACCTAAATCAGGTCCACAAATGTACATCTGGGCTCAGACGGACACGTATGCTTACCTATGCTTTTCTAGCATTGTGAGTCTTTGTTTGCAACTGCGCAAGCAGCCAGCATTTGGGTCGTAACGTAAGACTTCGATCGTAAGTTAAAACTGAAGTTCCAGTCGTAACCCAAGTTGCTTGTATGTGAGGCCAGGGTAACTTGAGGGTCCACTATAATTCTGTTTTACTTTGCTTTCGTTATAGAAATGAACATTTCCCCCTCTTGTCTTGCTAAACTTTGCAGGGATTCTCAGCTTTGTCACTTCCCCGAGTGTTAACAGGTTTGGTTTTCTCTTGGTTGTCACGTGATTGCTCCCAGGCCTTCCCTTGGCTCCTGTCACAGCCTGTGGCCCCTCTACTGGTTTGGGAACAACTGCACAGGTGTGCCAGTTAACCAGTAGGGAATGTCATTTTAGAGATATTATGGGAAATTTCAAACATTCACAAAAGTAGAGAAAATGGTACACTGAACAACTGCATACCTGTAAGTCAGAATCAGCCACCACCAAGACTTCTCCTCTCTGTCTCTCTTAACCCTTCCTTGTTTTGTTTGCTCGAATACTGCAAGGCTACGCATGGTACCTCACCTTTCCTTCCACAGGTGCAGACTGGACATCTGTACTGGATCTGTTGCCGCAAGCTCTACTCCATTCTTCGACATCAGCACTGTCTCTCTCTGCTCCGTTTGCTCTTTCTCAGTCCTCACTCTCCAGTGTCCTGGGGACCTTTCTCCTGCTAACCATAAGAAGGTCGGTGAGTGCAGTGGCTGCAGGACACAGCCATGCAGTCTGTTCCCAAAGGTCCCTGTGCTGGAGAGTTGGCTCCAGGGTGGCAGGATCGGGTGGGGAGCTTTAAGACGAAGCCAGGTGGGGCCTCATTAGGTCCTTGCGAGTGAACGAACATTCTGGGGCCTGGGTCAGAACTGGACAGGATGGGCTGATACAGGCCTGGCTTGCATCTCTCCCCCAGAGCCCTCTCTGCTCACACTCAGGGTCTTCAGCCCTGCACCCAGGCCTGGCCAGGCCCAAGCAGGTTCCCGCTCAGAACTGCGCGGAGTGTACCGGTCCTCTTCATGAACTGAGCAGGCAAGAGACAGAACCTCACCCATCAGGCACACTCCGCAGACAGCTTCAAGTCCCAGGCAACTTCTCTCCCTAGTCGCAGCACGGATCAGCACCGCGAATAGCGTCATGTGTGCCTGACTCTGCTCAGGGCTGCACACGTTGGAACAGTGGCTGGTTTCAGGATCAGGATCGCCTCTGAAAAATGAACAAAATGCATTTTCAGAAATTGTTATATGTGTGTTTTGTACACATACAAAGAAATAACCAGAAAATTCCACATGCAGTTTCAGGAGGTTTCTTAGAAATCCATCTGTGGGACAAAACCTAGATCAAGAATCTGAGCCAGCTAAGTGCAGTGGTGCACATCTGTAATCCCAGGGCTCAGCAGGCTGAGGCAGGAGGATTGTAGATTCAAGGCCAGCCTGGGAAACTGTTAATAAAAAGGGCTTGAGGCTGGGGCTTAGTGGTAGAGTTTGTCCCTAGAATACATCAGGCCCTGAGAGAGAGAGAGAGAGAGAGAGAGAGAGAGAGAGACAGAGAAAAAGATACATCTAGGCCAATAAATCCTAGTCACAGTGGCTTTCTTCCATCACACAGCACACACAGGTGAGAGGAAGCGAGGTCTAGTGAGGGAGGAAATGTGCCTAATTATAAACATAAGGCAATGTGTAAAATACATAAAGAATAAAGTCAACCATTACCTGCAAGATGTAGATGCCAGAGGGAGACATCTGTGACCCGTTAGCACCGTTAGGCGAGGGGACGTGGTCATGGTCACCTGCACATGCCGGCTCACTCAGACGCGCACACAGAGAGCAGGGTGTGTGACGCTGCCAAACCACACAGGGGAAAAATCCTTATTACAGACAAATTCCCAAAGCTGTTGGAGAGGAGGATGTGACAGGGCAATCTATTTCCATGTTAATGGGTGGAACATGTCTAACGTGGCCTCAGTGTACTTCGCAGTGACTGAAACAAAGCAGTGTTGCAGGTGTGCCTTTCTCAGTGCCCGATGTTCAGAGCTGAACATTAGCTGCTTGTGAAGGAGGCGAGGAAGCGCTGTAACATAGCACACGGATGCATCACATGCACCCAGAGGGCCGCCCCGCTCGGGGACAGTGGCTGTTCGGGCCCCTGGAGGGACAGGGTGCCGCTGGGCCCAGGGCTGGCACCGAACACCGAAATTGGAAGTGACCCTCTGGTGCGGTGGTGGCTGTCCCTCCGAGTCCCTCTCCAAGGTGCCACTCTAAAAGCTGACATTTTTTCCCTATGACACCATTAACTTACCACGAGAAAAATACTTAATTGTTATGTGTCCCTGTGTTTGGCTGTAGAACTCCTGCAGTGACATTACCATGGCAACTAAAGAGCTGTACAATCCTCTTGTTTTCCTCATAAGCTCACCAGAAACACACACAAATACCCTTCACCAAATAAGGACAGCAATTGTGCTGGAAACTAGAAATGGTCAGGGCAACCGGTGAAGGAGTCCCCAGCTAGAAGGGCACAGAAGTACGGGCTGGTACTTGAGGGTGCATCTAAACGTATTCAGTAGTTAGGATGAGAATTACTAAGTAGCTGTTAGTGAGCTTTCTGTGAGACATCTTTGTCTCTTTTCTTGACTTTGTGTAAGACCAAGAAAGAAGCATGAGCTACCCTGACAAACAGTCTTCAAACACACTCCAGAAATACTTATGATACACACTATGGCTCACACAGGCGAGGGACACAGGAATTTACCATGCACCAAGATACACACGCAAATCTGTGTGTACGTCAGATTAGAACTGTGTCTCTCAGCTCGATCAAAAAACAAGAGAAAAAGGCCACACCTATCTCAAACACTGTGATAATAGAAGTTTAACCCCCCAACATCATTATTTCTGTATTTTAGGGTTTCAGTATTTCCTTAAAAACACACATTTTACTAATTATGTTCCACCACCCCTCTTCTGTTCACAAGACACGAAACCGAATCTCTTGATAAATACTCAGCCTAAATGTATGGCTGGCAGTGTGTGCTGTCTTTCCCTCTCCTCCCTCCCTCTCGCTTCCTCCTTTCCTCCCTGATTCCCGCCCCCACCCCCTTCTGTTCTGGTGTGTAGTACTGCGAAATTCCATCACAAGCACTGTGCAAACCCCGCCATGGTCAGGACAGAGCCATTCCACCCCCACAAGGGGACATCCTGTTGGGAAACTGGCCCCACTCCTGTTTTGAGACAGGTCTATGTAGCCCAGGATGGCCTCGGACTTGTGATCCTCCTGCTTGGGCCTTCTGGATGCTGGGGTCACATACATTGGCATCACACCCCATTTTTAATTCCTACTGACCACACATCTCTCCTCTGTTGCTATAATGTTGTCATTTCAAGAATGTTACACAAATGCAGTCACACAAGATGTCACCTTTTGAGATTGGCTTTTTGTTTTCAGCATACTGCTCTTGAGATTCAAAACAGTTGCTGCATAGAACATGGTTTGTTTCTTTTTATGTCCAGGTAGTATTTCATTTATAGATGTGCTAGCTGCCCATTGAATAATGGGTTGTTTCCAGATCTTGGCTATTACAAATAAGCTGCTGTAAACATTTGTGTACAGGTTTTCGTGCGGACATATTTTCCTTTCTGCACGGTAACAACCCAGGAGTGCAACTGCTGGGTCATATTGTATATACCTGCTGAACTTCTGGAGAAACTGCCAAACTTTTCCAGGTGCCTGCAGCATTTTAAATTCTGCCCAACCATGTTCCAGGGAACCAGTTGCTTCACATTCTTGACAATGCTTGGTATCGTCGGTATTTTTAATTCACTAGGGTCTGCATTTGCGTTTCCTGATGGTTAACTATGTTGATTTTTTTCATGTTTATTTGCCATCACTTTGGTATGAAGAGCTGTTTTTCTCATTTTGTAATAGTATTTTCTTACTTTTGAGTTAGTTCTTCATGTTTCAGACCAGTCTTTTACTGAGTATGTGATTAGAAAATATTTCCTGTTTGTGGTTTGTCTGACAACAGGATCTTCAGAGCAAAAGGTTAAAATTTTGACCACGCCAGCAGATCCATTTTTTTCTACAATGTCTAAGAACACTACCTAGGCCTATCTTGTAATGATAGGGGTTTTTTTCCAAGTTTTATAGCTTCATTTTACATGCAGATATATGATCAATTTTGAATTTATTATTCTGTGAGTTTAGGCGTTTCTTTCCTCCTTAAGTTTGTATCATGTATTAAAAGATTATCTTTCCCCCACTGGTGCATGCCTGTCTCACCACTCTGGGAGACTGAGGCAGGAGGATCACAATTTCCAGCCCAGCCTGGGGAACTTGGTGTCTCAAAGTAAGAAGGGCTAAGTATGCAGCTCACTGCAAAGGCCCTGGGCTCAACGCCCAGCATGGGCCCCCACCCAATGTATTGAGCATGCTTCTGGATTTTCTGTGCCCTTTCATTGAAGTGTTTCAGCCTGTCCTCCAACAGGTTTTGTGATTGCTCCATTGTTACTTTTTACTATCATTTTAGACTTCAGTCCCTTTGCTTTTCCAGATAAAAGTTTAGATGCTGAGATTCTGCTCATCTTCACGAGGTGAGCGCCTCATTCCTCAGCCTAGTCAGCCTCAGTTGCCAGTTCGGTGCCAGGCCACACAGCTAGACACAAGGACCCGGTGGGAGGCGGTGGTGACGGACTTGGGAGGTAGATCTGTGGGTGAACCTGGCAGCCACTAAGCCAAACTGCTGAGTGTCAAAAGGGTGTCCCACGTACGTCATCCTGGGTGCCTCTGACTCCAAGATGTGTCAGCTGACATCTCAGGGGCAGCAGGGACACTGCTACCTGGGGCTGGACCCTCACACCTGGCCCAGTTCCCCTCTCCCTATGCCAGCTCAGTGGCTTCTATCGAGTGCTTGCTGAAGAGAGAAGGGTCAGAGACCCAGGAAGCTCTCATTTAGCAGAGTTGGGTCAGTTAAGGTCCAGGTAGAATGAGAGGCTCAGACAATTCTGCCTCTCCAGCTTCAGGGACAGGAAGTGCCTGGTAGAAAATCCACAAGTCAGACCCTTTCTGCCCTGTACAGCCATATAACCTGCTGCAGGAAGAAGCACCAGTGTGCTGAGGAAGACGTAAGATGGGAGAGAGACAGGAAATAGTTGAGGAATGCAGGTTTGAGCAGAAAAGTCTGAATCAGGCTCGCACTGAGGAAGGAGGAAGCCAGGGACAAGGCTTGACAGAGGTCTCCCCGGGCCATGGTGAGGCTTCTGGTCTTTACCTTATAGGAAACAAAGTATCCTAAATACAACCTAACACTAAGCTTTGATCAGAGTGAATTAAACAATTTATTAATATAGCCAACAGTTTCCTGGATCACTAAAATTGGAAAGCTAATAGCCATGCTTTCTCTATGGAAAATCTGAAATATCTGTGGATAGCAAAAGGCTCAGAGCCACCTTTGACAATTATCAAAACTCACACCTCTAAAATCACCTTTTCAGCTTTTGACTAGGTGGCTTAAAAGCCTATTAGTTACTGACAGCTTCTAAGTCATGTCATATACAGTGCCTGTCTCCCTTGCTCTTAAATCTTTGCCTCTATGCCTCCATCTGCTGGGCATGTAGTTCCATTAACTAAATCATCCAAGGCCTAAATCCTATTTTAAGCAAGGCAGGTAACAGACAGCCTTAGATATTTGAAAACAACAGGGAACAATTTAAGCAAATTTCTTTTTGTTAACTTCAAGAAGATGGACTCAAGAATACGCATATGCAAGGATATCTATGCCTAAGGGTCCCTGCTCAATGTTAACTTGAAGAACAGCAGAAGCACCTCATGACAAGTGATTTTTAAAAATACACTAGAATACTGTACATTTATTCCAGACTTGTAAATTTTAAGTGGAATGAAGGGACTTTCATTCAGTCGCCAATCCTCATACTGAAATACCTATCCTTCACATCTAAACACAGTACTTGGCGAAGTACATAACCCTACCTATTTGGTGGTGGTGAGGGAGGAAATAAAATACAAAACATTTTTGGAATATGAAAATTTATTACTAATGTCTTTTCATCATCAAAACTTATGATCTTGGTCTTTCCTTCTTGCCTTTGTAGAGAGCCAAGAGAGAGACATTGGCTACTTTAACCACCTTAAAGCGGACTCCAGGAATGTCACCAACGGCGTGACCTTTTCGACCAAATCCAGCAACCAGAACTTCATCATTTTCCTGAAACAGAATACAAAGTTTATTTCTGGCATCAGTGTCTGTCCCTAAAAAGCATTACTCATTCATATAAGAAAACTCCCATTCGTCAGGGAAAAAAACAGGGTAAAGAAACCCCAGAACAATCCACAGGTAATCAAAACTTATTGGAAACACTCACCTCAATAAAGTTCAAGCATCCATCATTAGGGACAAAAGCTGTGATTTTCTTGCCGTTCTTGATCAGCTGGACTCTGACGCACTTCCTGATGGCAGAATTTGGCTGTTTGGCTTCAACCCCTCTGAAACATAAACAGCAGAGCAGTGACCTGGCTTTTTGAAAAGGGACAGACACTAAGCACAGAACTAATCGCAACTGTTTCTATCTTTCAATATAATCAAATTCCTCAAATCCTGATTTCAAGCAAGTTTTTCCTCCCTCTGAGTTTCATTATTCACAGTGCAGAAAATTTTTAATTCCTTTACAGTTGTAAAGTTATCTGAACTTCTTAAAAGAATTGTAGCTAGAATGTCAAGGTTCAAATTACAACCTTACCGTAAGATGGGACAGAACATGAAATTACCATTCTTGGAAGTCAAAAGCCAATCAAATACCAGCTCGTTCACATAGCTCAGTATTAGTGTTGTGACTTCACGTAAGTCACTTATCTAATTTTCTCAAGTAGTACAAAACACTGTTTTTTGCTACCAGGGATCAAACGCTGGACCTTGCGATTTCGAGGCAGGCGGCGGAAGGAACCACTGAGCTAAATCCCCGGCCTAGTTTTCTCAAATAAAAGAACCATTTGATCACACAAACAGTGGTCAGCCTATAACAGTTCCCACACAACAAATGCGCTTTTCTCACTCACCACACCGTTGCTAGTTTCTTCCCCATTTTTTCTAGGGCGAATGTTGAAATCTAAACTCTTGGCTATCTGAACGCCAAACACTAACTTTGTCCACTTTTAAGTACAAAGGCAATCTTGGCTCCTGAAACGTCCGCATGAACTACTGACCCTTATAAAAAAGAAGAGCAGGCCAGATATGGGGGTGCAAGCCTGAATTCCCAGCACTCTGGGAGGCCGAGGCAGGCGGATCATTAGTTCAAGCCCAGCCCAGGGAACCCAGACCATCTCAAAACTAGAAGAATAGAACAAGAGGCTGTTACCGTGAAAGACCTGGGTCCGATCCCCAGCGTGGCCAAACAATCAAATGGCCACCTACAGATTCAACAGGCACACTTGTCTGGAAACCCCACAGCGGAGTAAAACTCGGAAGCTGCGGTGCACTTTCACTTACACTTTCTCCAGCACGATGCCCTTTGCATGGGAAGCACCTCCAAAGGGGTTGGCCTTCAGGGCTGTGCCCAGATGAGCCTTCTTGTACTGCTTGTCGTGCCACTTCTGGTCCCGCCGGTGACTGCGGAGCTTCCGCGCCGTACGAAGGCCGCGACACTTGCCTAGTAGGAAAAACCACTGCAATTCCTTCGCCAGGCGACACCGGCGCTCACCCAGACTAACACCTTAGGCCGCCGACTCGCGGGGCAGGTGATCTGCAAGGTCCCAGGGCCCGACCACGACAGCCAACGTGCAAGGAGTCACAGCGCGCGCCCCCGAAGCCGGGCCCACTCGCTGCCTCGCCCGGTCCGCGTACCCGCGGCGTCGCCTCCCCGGCCCCACTGGTCAGCCTCCTTGCGGAGCCACCGCCCGCTCCCGGGACCCCCAGAGGCCGCCCGCAGCCCCCCAGGCCGGCTCACCCATCCTGCCGGCGTGCGGGTCCGAGCGAAAGAGCGAGGCGGCGCAGGAAGGACCCACAAGCCACCTCGACAGGCCCCGCCCCGCCGCGAAGGACCCGGCGGAGCTGTCTTGCGGCGCCTGTCCCGAGGTCGGTGCCTCGTTGGAAAACGACGCGCTTGCGCCACTTTCCTGAGCCAAAACCTGAGCCTCATTTCATTGTATGAAATTCAGAGATGTCTCGGTTGTATCTTTTTTTCCCCTCTTTCAGGTGCACGCCGGGGACAGGAGGAACATGAACTACCAGTCCCAGAAGTCTTTGCGCGGCATGCTCAAGACGCAGGCGCTTTGAGCGCGCCGGGGCCTTGGGGTGAGGTGGGGGCGGGGAGACGCAGGCGCGCGGAGAAAGCTGCGGCGTGCGCGTCATCCTCTGAGTACCGGTGGCCCGGGTCGGAGACTCGGAGCTGGGACTTCTGGGCTTTAAGTCACACAGAGAGGCAGGGCAGCAAGTAAATGGTAGAGTTTAGGGAGTCAGCGTCGTGCGGTAATTACCTGTCCCGGGTTTGGGGCAGACTGGGCTTCAAAGCCAGGAAGCTGCTGTTTCCCGGTTGCGCGACCTTGGGCGACTCGTTTAATCAACTTGAATCCGCTTCTTCGTAAAGAGGAGTAAACAGAGTTTTCTGGATGCTTATTGCACAGATACTTTTTTAAAGATACGGCAGTTAACGAGAGTGGAAGTTTCTGTGCGGTTTATCCTTATGTAGGTGTGGGAACAGACAGTATATACGTGGACATTTAAAGACAATCAAAGATAATTTTGCACACATAAGTGCTTCAGAGATAATGGAGTTGAGTAGGTGATCTGACAGCTATTCTGGATGCAGTGGATTAAGAAGATAGCTCTGGGGGACGGGGACAGAAAAAGAGACTTAAGCGATATGTACACGTACCAATTCCCAGGATGAATGTAATTATGCCCTGCAAACATGTATAATATTTTTTTTTGACTTAAAAAGTTCTGTGAGGGCTGCATTTGAGCTGGGACCTAGACAAGCCAGTCTGATTACAGGACACAGCGCGGAAGCTCAGCAAGGAGCAATGGGGTCCTGCAGGGCCGAGAGTTACACAGAGGCCGGGGGAGCTGCTCTGGACTGAGGTGAAGCTCCCCCCCCGCTTTGATTTTGTAGTGTTGGTGTCCCGTGACCGAGTGCCTTGGTACAGGTGTGAGCAAAGGAGTTAACAAAACAGGATTGATGTTTCTATGGGGTTACTTTGGCCCCTCTGAGGAGAAAAACAGATGAATCGTGAGGCCTTTCGGGAAGTTATAATTGTAAAGCGGGAGATAATAATGACCTCGACCTTCAAAGGAAGTGTTAAAAAATGGTGAATTCGTTAATAGTTAATTGTTTTGTGATGGAGCCAACAGGAGTTTCTGAGGACTATAATGGGAGTTAGTTACATCCCATGAAGTTTGATATGGGCACTTGGTTACTTGTGTTATTAACTGAGTAGGAAGTATTGGAAGAACGGATTTTGAAGGGAAAGTGGAGAGTTCTGTTTTGGAGGCATTAAGTTTAAGATGCTTGTTAAACATCCAGGCATATGAAGGGGGTAGTTGGATATGCGACAGGAAGTTCAGCAAAGTCATCACTGCACAGGTAGTATTGGAAGTCAAGGCTCTGAGTGAGATCATGGAGAAAAATGCTTCATGATCCCACTTAGGTGTGGAGTCTAAAAAAATTGGTGTTCATAGAAGCAGAGAGTACATGGTGGTTTCCAGGAATTGAGGGGTATAGGGAATTCAAGATTTATTGGCTAAAAGCCACAAAATTTTAGAAAAAATAAATTCAAATGTTCTGTATAATATGGAAACTGTACTTAATAGTGTGTTCCATACATGAAAATTGTGTGGATTTTAAATATTCTTATCACAAGAAAGTATATGAGGTAAAGCATATGTTATTTAGCTTAATTTAGCCATACTATACTGTATAGTTATTTGAGAACATCTTGTACACTAAGCATGCAGTTATAATTAAGTATTATTAAAAATAGTTTTTTTTTAAAGATGTGGCTGCACAAAAAATTGTTTCAAATTAAATCAGATTACTATCTTACATTAAAGACTCCAGATAGAGTAAGGGCTGAAATGTCCAACCCAGAAACAGGTTTCAAGCTGTGGCTCCTTTCTGCTGAATAGAGAACACCACCTCCAGCCTCCCTTGGTGGCCTCCATAGAGACAGTGCCTGCTCCTGCACCCCCTGGTGAGGAAGTGAGAGCCCCAGCTGATCCTGCATGCCTGCATTCTGGTGGCAGCTTATCCCGCCTGAAAAAGAATGTTCAAGGCAGAATAATTAATACTGAGTTCACACCTGTATTTAAGAATAGGCATCACACTCAAGATGTGACTGAGGATAGATCATCTTGTGACTGCAGGAGAAAAGCAAGTGACAAAAAACGCAAAGCGAGTATCTTGCCCCTGAAAAGCAGTAGGCTGTCACCCATAGCATTGCAGCTGCCTGCTCAGATTACCAAGGAGTCTGTCAAGAACTGTGAAGAGTGTAAGATTTTCCCCTCTTGTAAACTAATGAATTTGCCTGCCATTTTTTGTTTTTTCCAGTACTGGGGATTGAGCCCAGGGCCTTCACACAGAGCTATATTTCCTGCCCCCTTTCTTGAGACAGGGTCCTAGGCACTAAGTTCCCCAGGCAAGGCTTGATGATCCTCCTGCCTCAGCCTCTCAAAAGGTCTGCCAATTTTACAATGCAGGCAGAGGACATAAGACTCCTGGATCAGAGACAAAAGACTATTGCTCACCATGCAGGAAGCTTCATGAGCCTCCGTATACCTGGGTCTGTCCTCCCTCGCCAGGAAGCAGTGCAGGCGGGTACTGATGTATGCTGTGTGCACAGTGAGTTTCATTCTGGGGGAGAAGCCCTGTGCTACTTCTGCTCTGGAGGGAAACACTTATTTTCCAGGATGATGAACAGAGCTGTCATTTCCATATAAGATGGCTCTGTTGTAACCTTCAGGGCTTTTAGATGTGCAGACAGAAAGGATATTTATTCCAGAGCAAAGAACAGGGAGGGACTCACAACATGGGCAGGAGAAGGAGCGGCACATGAAAAATGTCCCCACACAGTCTCCACCAGAAAACAGGTTACGTATCCGCCTTCTTTTCGACTAGAACGCAGGTTCGCTCCATTATTACTAAATGAACGTCAGCTGGAAATATGAATCTAAAATACCTGTTCTTCATAATCTTATAGGACCATATAGAACGGTGTTCCCATAGAGATCAATTTAGCTTCAGAATCTTAATGTTTTCTTCAGAACCATCTAGCAGGAGCACAGTCTGTCCAAGGCTCTCAGACCGCAAGTCCATTAGCCAGATGTTTACATCCGTGATAGTGGGCCTGGTGCAGTGACTCAGAATAAGGCCGTCTGTCCTTCCGTGGGCCTGCATGACATGGCCTTGCCGGCCTCTCTCCTGTGTGCCACTGTCCCTCCTCACCGCGGTCCATGCATCGTGACGTTGCCCGGCTTCTCTGGACCTCAGTGACTGACTGCTCTGTGGGGTCCCCTCACACCTCTCCACCTCTCCCAGCATTCTCTTCACTGTCATAATTTTTGTCATAATCCTATGTCACAACTTGGACTTGGATATTTAGTTTCTTGTTTATGCTGTGTGTCCGCATCAGAAATGTCACCCTGTGAGGGCAGAACTGTGTCTAACTGGCCCCAGTTGGTGATCAATAAAATGTACACAGTGAATGAATGAAAGTATCCAGGAATGCCACATACTTAATCCCCACTTCAAGCCATATGGCTGTGGTACCCAGGGCCCAAATTTTTGGGTAACCATAATTGGAAAGTCAATTGCTTCCAGCATTCCATAGATCTCAGTTGCTTGAAAACAAAAACTGACAAAACACAGCTTATACCTGTTCATGGCTAATAATCATAGTGTGTGCTCTTTGCTCCCTGAGGGTTGTGGGGAGGCATACAGCTCTAATCACGTTCAGAATCTAATTGCGCCATGGTACCTACCAATTTCCATTAAATCAACTCATGAGTTGAATCAAATAGTTGTAAGTGCTTTTAATTTAAATGTTAATGTTTCTCACTTGAGGTTTTCCTTTGACTTCATGAAACATAGGTAATGTGCCAGATTAGTGACACATATTTATGTCCTGCATTGCTCAAGCTAAAACTGAGACAGGAAGTCTAGTTTTGATAAATTTGTCTGTTCAGTCAACACTGGCACTGTGCTACGTTCTTTACCGGAACACAAGTTTAAAAAAATTCTTTGCCCCCCCCCCCGCCCCCCAATCTCACAGCCCAGTAATGTGCAGAAATGTAAACCCGTCGCTGCTGTGGGGAAACCTTTGGGATGTGTGCACCCAGCACGCCAGCGACCTCCCTTGAAGTCAGTCCTACCTGCCCTCCAGGCAATGGCGGATGAAACAGAAGGGAAGCAGAGGCAGCTATAACTAGACACAAGAGACGCTGAGAATTTGTGTTCTAGTCATTTTCTTCCTCGCTGGGACACAGTACCAGATACTAACAAATTAGGTCAAGTTTATTATTTGGCCCACAGTTTGTGAGGTGCCAGTCCATAGTTGGCCGGATCCAAGGAAGGGCGGCATGGCAACCAGGCTTGCTGGAGGAGGCTGCCGACAGCCTGGAGGACGGGAAGCGGAGAGAGTGCGGTGAGGCGCTGAGGACGGGCTTAAACCCTCCAGGCCACGCCCCAGTGACCTGCCTCTTCCAACCACGCCCCACCTAACACGAGTAAACCCTAAGCCCTGATGATCAGGCAACTTCCGAAAGCCCTTCCTTTGAGCGCGTGAGGCTTGGGGGACTTCTAGCTAGAGAGCGTAGCCCTTTGATTGGAGCTTTTGGTACTTGCAGTGTAAAGAGCCTTTATTGGAAGGATTTGCCAAGTGATACTTTTAAAAAAAACTTAAGTACTGGGAGTCAAACTCAGGACCTTGCACTTGCCAGGCAGGCTCAATGCCACTGAGCTAAATCCCTGGCCGGGTAAATGATACATTTAGTGTGGTCAGAGAGCCATGAAGTAGGAAGGGAAGGTTGAGTGCCAGGGTAGCTTGGCAGACCTGGGTCCCAGAGAGAAGAAGAGCTCCACTACCTTCTAGAAATTTTCCCCCACGCCAAGAATCTGCAGGGTCCCCTCCCCTGCAGAGGCAGACAGCGGAGTTTTGAGTCACTGAAATAAAACTCTGACCACGTACCGTCATGATGCTGCCCTGTATTTGAGGCTGAAATTCACCAGCACGTTTACTTTCAAAGGCAGCACTGGGTACAACTACTTGGTGGTAAATCCAAGATATATTTTTCTAAATAATTAATATAAATTTGGAAACTTTAACTTAAAACCATTGAGGTAAACATTAAAGCTCATAATGTGCACATGAGCACATTATTCCATCATATGAGAAAGGACCACATGTAGGAACTGGTTACAGATACATTCCTCTGACTGTACATAAAATGAGCAATAAACGCTAGACCAACGAGATCAAGAAGCAGTTTTTTACTGTCATTTTTTTGTGAGTAAGCCCAGAGCCCTTTCATTTCTTATTTTATTTTCTTCCTTTTCTCCATTATTTTTTCTTTCAAGAAACAAAATTCTTACTTTATATATAGACCTTTAAGTAACAATCTTAATAATATAGAATGCCCACATTTTTGCATATTTACTTTTATAGTTTCTATATTTATGTATTATTACAATTTACATATTTTAAAAAATCTAGAAATAAACAGTGAATCTTCATTTCAGTATGGAATTCAAGAGTCAAAAGTGTCACCCCCAGCCACAAGACAGCTGGTCCTAATTGAACTCTGAGATACTGTAGACCTGGTCCATCCACCCAGTTCTTAAATCTCTCCAGAGAAGGAGACCTAAAATGTAATATTCCATTGCAGTAAGGAAAATTGTCTTTTTTTCTTAGAGCTCAAAGGTCCTTGCCATCAAAGAAGCCTATTTTCCTTTGGGTCTCTGCCAAGCCAGAGAACACCTGGAGAATAGCTTTTAATATGAGTATTAAAATTATAGCTCCCTTCCAGGGATTTTACAAAGGGCATCAAAGAACAGCTTTTGTCAATTCCCCCTAGATCTCATGCAGAGGTTTAATTATAATAAAAAGATTTTTCAAGATCAGGCCTGGATATTAGTAAGATTATACAGCAACACATTTATTTCTTTAGTTCCACCTTGGAATAGATTTGAGAAGAAATAATCATCGCACCACACGGGTTCGAATGAAAGGATAAGAAATCTCATTCATTCTGGATAAAGGAAAAATTGTGTTTAATAATTTAATCAGGTAAAATGAAGCAGTCAACATTTATCACTAGTAGTTATGCAGGGCAAATAATCATAGGTCTGACTCTCCCTGCTTCTTTATGCTACTTAAAGCTGTTATTTTAGCTTGTCACATTTCCATAGCAACTGCTGCCTCCATTTTTATAGCTAGAGCACCAAAGATCATTTCTAATTATAGTAAATGCTCTGGTATTAATTGTCAGCATTTAAAAAAACCATTGGCTCTTCTTCCTCATAAGTTAACTTCTTCCTAGTATGGTATAAAGAATCAGCATTGCCCTTGACCTAAATCTCACCAATGGCTCTAACTTATGAAGCTCAGTCTTTTCATTGGGGGAAAGGGTTGATTCTGAGAGCAGTGATATAAAAATTCTCCACCCCACCTGAGTGCTTAAGCAGTTGAGAAATAAAGGGTAGAATAAGCAGAGGCCCAGATATCCATTTCATTACCAAGCAAGGTCAGCATGGAGAAAAATCTTGGAGTGGGAGCAAGCTGGATTCTAACTGAATTCCTCCCTGGAAAGACAGACATGGCTCTGAAAGCACATTGCAGTTTGAGTGGCAGAGAACTCCATTAAGCGAGGATTGCATGATTTAGCTAATAAAAATATAGGACCTTCAGTTAAATGTAGTTTTCAGAAAAACAGTGGTTTAAAAAATAGTATGTGTCAAATATTGCATGTGTTATAGCCGTTTCAGCAAAAAGAATCACGCCATGAAAATGTCCAGATTAAGAGTCCTTTATAGCCGGCGACGAAAAGGCAAGCTCCCACTTGATAACCTCCTTTTGGTACTGAGTGGCTGGGAAGCCCCAGTTTTAAAGGGAGAAACCACACAATAGAATGTCATGCTCTCATCGTTGGTCATGCACAGGGGGACAGAAGCAGATTGCAAGTTCGATTAAAATCTAATATTTGGGGTCTGGTGGGAAATTCCTAGCTTTATGGTTAGGGCCACAGTATGACATGTCCTATCCTTTGTTCTTAACCACAAGGTAAGCTATGTGCTGGTTAACTTATCACTTTGAACCAGCAGTCCGGAGAGGAAAGGGTAAAGTTCAGGCACGGGCTGTTGGGGTTTCTGGTTAACTCGCTTACTTCACGTGAGATGCAATTACGTTAAAATTATTTGTTGTTTTTCTGAAATTCAAATTTAACTAGATATCTTATAGTTTAATCTGTCGACCCTACCAAGGACTGAATTCCTCCTGTCTAGAACAATCTCGTTACTTGAAATTCCAGGGAATTGGGAAAAGATCAGGCTGATATGAAAGGCGGTGAAGAGTAAAAGTAGAGGAATAAAAGAATGGAGGGAAGAGAAGGAAGAATGAGGGGAAGAAGAGAGAAAGTGGAAAGGTCACACATATGGCCTATGACCTTTTTTAAATTTTGTTTTCACCTGATACATAAAACATAAAAGTTGTACCTGCTAGTGAGGTACCATGTGATGTTTTGATATGTGTGTGTGTGTTGTGTACTTTTAAATCTGGTTGATTTTGGTAATTTTATAACTACAAGTTTCTTCCTCATTTCTCTACTTCCCTGAGTCCTGCTTCATTCTCTTCTTCTAATTTCCTGCAGGAGTCCCTAGAGTCATGGGAGGAGGACACTGAGGGGACAGAGATGTTTCCTCAGGGCAAGTCCCCAGCTTCCCTAGAATCCACACCTCTGAAAGGTCACTTACAAATAGCACTTCTCAACTCCCAGCACCTCATCATTGAAGGGATCAAGGCCTCTAAGTACCTAAACATGCTAGCACTTCCTTGGGGAAGATTTTCCTGTTTTTCCAGCATTTTCATTGTGTTTTTAAGAAATAGATAGACATACTGATTTCCATAGTGGTTGACTAGTTTACATTCACATGAACAATGCAAAAAGGTTCCTTTCCCCCACAACCTTGGCAATATTTGTTCTTATTTGATTTCTTGATGACAGCCATTCTTTCTGGAGTAAGATGGAATCTCACTGGTTTAAAACTAAAACTAGCAATTCCATTCCATCCAGCTATTCTCCTTCTAGGTATCTTCCCAAAACAGTTAGAGACATCATGTTACAGTGATCCATGCACATCCATGTTTACAGCAGCACAACTCATGATAGCTAAATCTTGGAAGTGGCCTATATGTTTAACAGGTGAGTGAATAAAGAAAACGTGATATTTATATACAATGAAATACTACTCTGGGATAAAGAAAGCTGTCATTTTTAGGGAAATGGATACATGTTGGGATCATGATGTTAAGTGAAATAAATCAGACACATAAGTTAAATTATCACGTGGTTTCTCTTACATGAGAAAATCAAAGTATAAATAAAGAGCAAAGTAAAAGATAGATGATGGGAAACAGGGAGCGAGACCTTTTGCATATGAGAAGGGGCCAAGAGACTGAGGGAGAGGGAGGGGAAGGCAAAAGGAATGTGAAAAGAATGGCAATGTGTTAGGTACGGGTACCGACTTCACTCACCGAGTGTAGTCATTGTGTGCTACAAACTGGCACCAATGAAAATGAAAATTCTAAAAATGTGTATGAAACAACTCAGACTTTGGGTGTGTTCTAGTTTTGTTGGATTTTAGGGGGTAGGAGGTGGCAGTAGAGGCCAGCAGGGAAGGAGTAACAGAGGGTATTCCTTATTCATCTGAACACTGAGGTAAGGAGGATTTTCTGAGGCTTGTCATCATGATCCCATTTAATGTTCACACAATCCTGTAAGTGCTTTTGTCCCCATTCTGCCGATAAGGGAAGGTAATGCGCCTGGTGTCAGACACCCAAGTCCTGCAGCTGGACTTGGTTGAGCCGTGCCTGACTGCACCCAGTGCTCTCCTGAGGCTCTCCTAGTGCTCCCCTCTACAACTCTCAGTAGACAGAGCCCCAAGTCCAACAGGAAGCCTTCAATTAGGACATGCTTGCCTATTTAGGAAAGTTCCGGATTTTGACTGACTTTTTCACCTGAAAAATGAGTGTGAAAAATATACTTCATAGACTTGGGGGAGAATTTAATACCTTCCTGAAAAGTAGTGTTAAGAACCCTAAGAGTTACATGACAGTATCAAAACAATGCAACTTGTCTCAAAAGACTGGGAAATACATTTTCTCCAACAATCTACTCCCTACTACTCTTTCAATGAGTTTAATAATTGAACATCTAGATAATGGTTTTCTTCCATACTCTAAGCCTTATCAGGTTCCTCCCTCCCTCTTCCCCACACTGTGGGTCCTGGGAAAGCTGTCCTTTCATTGGTTGAACATGCTGTCAGTCACATGGCATGAAAAGTCCTGCCCCTGCTGTTTGCATTATGAATTAACAGATGTGCTTGGTTGGAAGAAACTGATTGATTTCTTGATGGGAAGAAAAATCTTGTTTATTGGTTCGTTTCTTTTTTTATGCATTGGGTTTTCACTAACTTTGGAGCAGATATTTGTCAGGAAGAATGTAAGGTGAGTACTGTAATTGCATATCTTTTAATGCAATGCATCTGTGAACTTCAGTGTTAAGTGTGAAATGCTGGTTCTGTAATTTCTTTATATTGTTGTGAATCTACATTTACTTATGGCTCAGAATAGAATAAGCTAGGTTGGTTCATACAGTCAGCTACTAAATGATTAGAGTTTATAATTAAGAGATTAAAAATAGAATTCTTAAGAGGCGAGGGTTATTTGTTCAAATATCCAAGACACGTCGTTTTATGTATCAAAGTATATGTCTAATAGGAAATGACTCCAAATCATTGTTCAGGTTTCTTTTATTCTTACAAGTAGGTGTTAATTTCACAGCTTTTCCTGGCATTATTATGTGGAAAAAGGAAATTTAGAATCTCAGAAAATATATTACCTGTTCCTTGCTGGAAAGGTGTTAAATCCCTCTAATTGGTGGCAGATGGTAACTGTGTAGGAGACATGGTATTTACAATTAACCAGAGAAGTTTCTAGTTCTGTTGTCCTTTGGTTTCTTTCCAAGCTTTATAAGGCAGCATGTAGAGACTGATCTATTAAAAAGAATATCTGCATCTGAAGAACAGTTAATTTCTGTCCTGTCTCCCAGTTTCTCATCATGTGCCCTCTCTGCGGGTGTGCCTGGGAATTTGGTGTAAACACAACCCAGTAGGATGATCTGGCTGCACTTGGCTTAAAGAAGCCATAGCCAGCAGCAGCTGATAAAAGCTAGAAGTAGACACATTTTACATTTTTTTCTCTCTTTGCTTCCAACTCAGTTGGTGCTTTCTGTCCTTCAGGTTGGCTTTTAAATAGTAAATTACCTAAATTCCTTAGGTGGTGAAAGCTTAATATTTCCACATAATTTTTTTTTTTACAGAAATGACTGATTTGTGTATTCTACTGGCAAAAGATCCACCAAGAATTATAAAAACCACATTTCTTTTTAGGGGGAAGGTTAATAGTTTTAAAAATCTTAGATTAAGAAACTTTAGATCTTAGAAATCACACAAATGAATGACCATTCAAATCTAATAATATGGTGCATTAATTCACTAGGATGGGAACACCCATAGCTCTTTTGTGAATGTTTATTCAAATCATGGACCTGAAATTTAAAAAGTATTTCAACTCCATACAGCTCTTCCTCTGAGAAGGATGATTGCATTTTAAGCTTGACATATCTTTCCAAAGCTTGGAGAGACTGGGGGTAATCACCATTCTTCCTTTTCACGTTCCTTGCTCAAGTCTGGCTTATTCTTGAACCCAAAGGAAATCCCAGGCATTCTCCTATGTTCCACTTGATTTCAGAGTTTTCTTATTTATTAGTTTGCTCCTGAATGTGGCACATTTGAAAAATGCTTGGTATTTCTCAGTAACTACAGCAGGAATGATGCTGCTAGGTGCTGGGTCTTCAACGGTGGGCAAAACAGGGAGACATCTAGTGAAGAGGTGCTCATTGAGCAAATGATAGATATATTACAAGTAAACATTGAAATGTGTTGGGAGAGGAAACCGTAGGAGGCAGGAGCACATTAAAAGGGGCTGAACTAGTCTGAGGGGTTTGGGACCTTGTTCCGGGGTGGTGTCTGAGGGATGTGCAGAAGAGATCTAGAGGGTGGAGACCATTCTGGAAGAAGAGTCCATGGAGCAGAGGGAGGAATGGGCAGAGATGTGGCCAGCACAGCTGGCAGCCGAGGGCTCAGGGGCTGGGTAGGCCAGGGTGGGAATGGTGTTTTCCTGAGTAGGGCCACCAAGGAGCTACTTCATGGTCACACCTGCCTTCATGAAGGCCCCTGGCACTCACTACTACAAACCCAAGGCTCTCGATGCCTTTTTCAAGTATTGCAGAAATCATTTTTACTGGAAAAGAGTCTGAATATTTTATTGATGATGCAGGCTTAGTTTTCCTAAGTCAGTGTTTCTCAGTGTCAAAATTTTTAACCAGAAAATGTTTAGTTTCTTCTGTAGTTCAGAGACTATGCAGTGAAGGGGAAATGCACACATATCTTGTTTTGGCTGAGATTATGACTTCCTATAAAATCTCATTAGTTCAGGCTTAGGGTGTGTGCAAAGCCCATCTGAATTCCAGCTTATTTAAGAAAGAACTACAACAACATAATTGTATGATCAGACCAGGGACTTCCTGAAATGACAGTGAAACTGTTTTGTCTACTAGAAGTCTTTTAGTAGTGAACACATGAAAATTTTAATTAGTGGAGCAAAGCATGTTGATGATATCATAGCTCATTTGTTCATTCGCTCATGTTCATTAAACATTTACTACATCCCCCCACTAACTAGACATTGTCAATTGACCTGTTAAACTTTATCTTTTTGGGTAAAATATATCTCACTATTTTCTGTTTTTGTTCATTTACGACATTTAAAAATTGAATATGTAACCTGGTATCATGAAATATGATGTGTGAATAAAATTAAACTTAAAAACTTTAAAAATATATTTGTGTGGTTATATTATTAGAAATCTTGAAGCTCTTCAAGAAGTATTGTCTGGACTTTCGTTTTTCCTCCATATGTTCAGTGACATTTTAAGTTGCATAGTACAGTTTGGGATTTAAGTTGGTAAAGATGTTTTGGCTAAGATGCCTTTTTATTCTAATTTTATGCGCGCTTTCAGAAAGTTAGGTTTCTTAGTGCTGCCAGGTGGGATTGGCCTCAGAGAACTGATTCACGCTAACTCAAAGGCAAGAGACTTGATATAAACAAGCACATCTTCCACATAAACATCTACATACAAAAATTACTAAATTTTTATTTGTAGTAGTCCTAAACTGGAAACACCTTAAATGTCTATCAGTATGTACATAGATGAATAAAATATGATATATCCATACAACAAAATATTTTAGTAATAAAATGGAATGAATCAGTGATACATGCACTCATCTATGTTAATTTCAAAGTGATTTCATTAAGACCAAATGAAGCCAAATACTAACAAATACATGTTATATAATTCCACTAATATGCAATTCTAGAGCATGCAAACTACAGTAATCTAAAGTGACAGAAGGCATGTCACTGCTTGCCAGGGGCTGAAGGCAGAGGGACCATCTGTCCACTGCAGGAATGCTTGGAGAAACTTTTGTGGCCAAGATAGGTATTCTGTATCTCTATTGTAGTAGTGGTGCCCAAACTCACAGGTTTATAGACTTAGCATGGATGCAGTTTACTGTACATAAATTATACCACAATAAAATTGATAAAAATGGATAACTGCATTCATGCATGAGTTTGTTAAGAGCAGCTAATAGACATCATTGTCCCCAGTTTGTTATCCACACAAATTTTCATTAGATAATAGAGGTCATATTACAAAGAGAATAGTGCATTTAATTTATAACTGATTCCATAGAATTAATTCTATAGCACTCTACTATGACATAGATTTAGTAACTCTTCAGCTATAATTATGTTTTGCATATATATCATGACATAATAATATTTAATATCTTTGTTTAAAATTATCAACATTTTATAGATATAATGATGCTGTTATTTTAAAAAATCCTCCTTATAGAGAAATATATTGAAATGATGTAACTTCTGATACTTTCTTCAAAATAATGTCACAGTATGAAAGTGGTAAGCGTATGAGTGAGACAAGATTTGCTGTGCTTGATAGTTACTGAAGGTGGATGATGAGCATTGGTACATGGGATTTAAGAAGTATTTTACTTATGTTTTTATATTTATTTGAATGTTCTTTGATAAAACAGATACATATCTTTTAACTTAATTTAACTTTAGGAAATCTGTACACTTCCAGGAAAATATAGAACATACAGAAGAATTTGAAGAAGAAACAAGTTTGAAACATCAGCCTTGATCCTTACTCACTGAACACCGTGGAATGTAGTATCCCAAGCCCTATGCTAGACACTAAGGCTTAACCAATAATAAATAATAACAAATAAAAAAACATAATAAAATATTTTACAGTGAAATTTTATTCTACAGTGTATTATTTATATTAAATCCCACATAGCCAACTCTTATTATTAATAAATAAGATGAACTCAATTGCTGAAAAGGTATTTCTGAAAATTATGAGAATAGACATTACAATATATACCCTCCAGTCTTTCCACACACGTAAACACACACATGATATACCACATGCATATGTAACTTGCTTTTATAAAACTTAAAAGCAGATTGTTATGAACATATTGTTTCAGAGTCTATACATTTTTAACTTCAACTATGTATCACAGATATTTACCCATGCTATTATATATTTTTCTGATACATTTTTGGCTGCCATGTATATTGCATCATAAAAATGTGCCGTAGGCCTTTAGCCAAATCACTGTTCTTCGGTGTTTCCCTTGTGCTGAGATTTGGCTTCGATTTGAGTGTCCTCCAGGTGCTCTGTGATTGGCGGTTAAGCACCTGAATGGCAGTGTAGGAGACTTGAGGAAGCTTTAGGGGATGGGGCATAGCAGGAGGTGCTCAGGTCATGGGGGATGCAGTCACTTTGGTGTGATGCTATAGTGGTTCTTTTTTTTTTTTTTTTTGGTACCGGGATGGAACTCAGGTCCTTGCGTTTGCACAGCAGGCAGCGAAACCACTGAGCTAAATCCCCGGCCCTGTAGTGGTTCTTATGAGAAAGTAGTCAGAAAAGGAGCAGGTGAGCCGGGGGGTAGCAGTGCACAGACCTGTAATTCTAGCACTCTGGGAAGCTGTGGCTGGAGGAGCAAACATTCAAGCCCTGCCCAAGCAACTTAGTAACTAAGCAAGACTGTCTCAAAATAAAAAAAATTTAAAAGCCCTTGATTCAATTCCTGGTAACATACAGATACAGGTGTGCGTGTAAAAACACACACACACACACACACACACACACACAGGGAAAGGCCTGACCTCTTGCGGCCTCTCTGCTTCTGGGCTCTGGGGTTGTTCCTGACATTTTCTCCACCATTAACCCCTGCCCCAGCAGTGGGGACTGCACCAGAATGGAGCCCATGCAGGCGCCAGGCCTTTGAACTTCCAAAACCATGAGCTAAATAAACCTCTTCCCGTTTTCCCATGAGTAGCCTTTGACAGGTATTAGACTACAGTAACGAAAAGCTGACTAATACAAGCTTTTCCAGTTTTGTAGTACTCTAGCAATACTGCTTAGTACATTATGATGTAAATACCACGTGGCATCCACAGTTGTATCAGAAAAATATACAATAGCACAAGTAGATATTAGTGATATGTTTTTAAATTTAAAAAATCACAGGCTCTACAACAGTATGTTCACAAAATATGCCTTTAAGTTTTATGAAAAGTAAACGACATGTATGTGGTACATTATGTGTGTTTGTGCAGAGACAGGAGAGGATATGTCATGATTTCTATCATAATTTTCAGAAATAACCTTTCAGGAATTGAATCCATCTTTTTTTACTAATTTTAAGGATTGGCTATTTTGGTTTTATATAAATAACACAATGTAGTATAAAATTTCACTGTAAAGATTTTTATGTTTTATTATTTTGTTATTATTTATTATTAGTTAAACCACACCTCCTAGCACATGGCTTGGAATAGTTGTCTGTCTATAATATTCAATGAATAAGGATCAAAGTTGATTTAAAATTTTTTTTTCTTCTTTTAATTTTTCTGTATTTTCTGTATTTTTTAAAGAGCATACATTTCTTTTTAGAGTAGAAATTTACCATTAAAAATGAGCACTTTTGACAAACTAAGATTCTACTCCTTTATGCGGAGATGTGATAAACTGAAATGTATTTCTTTTTTTTGAAATGTACTTCTTAATGCTTCAGGTAAAGTCTGAATTGTAAATATTTGCTCAGCATTTAAATTTCTCCTTTTTAATTTCAGTTCTAGAACATCTTCAAATAAAGAAGTGGTTCTAAAGAGTGGTAAGATTTGTAATATGTTATACGGTGCTTAGCACATTATTGTCATCCAATTACATCGATGAACTAATGACATTTAGCCTTAATACTCACACCATTATTTACTTGGCAGATCAACAGATTAATGGAAATATGAAGCCAGTCCAGAATCTCACTCCAGTACCAACAACACAGGTATGGGTATCTCAGGAAATTAGATTGTCATCTATGTTTAAAAAATGTAAGTGCTTTACAGTTGTGTCAGAGCTACTGTGAAAATATAAATAATAATTCTTTTATTAATTAACATATTGTTACTTGAACTTTGGATGGGGAAATGTATTACCATAATCTTATAGTTGAGAAAAATCTAAAGTACTTACTGTTACATGCTCTTTTGTATTTTCTTTCTTTTCTCTTTTTTTTGGTACTGGGGATCGAACTTGGGACCTTGTGCTTGCGAGGCAGGCAGTAGAACCACTGAGCTAAATCCCTGGCTCTCTTTTATATTTTCATTACAATATTCAGTTTTACTTTTATTCATCTCTAGATGAGACCACTGTAGTTATAGTTTATGTTTGATTACTAATGAGCTTTGCTTGCTGCTCCTGCATTGTTAGTAATGCATATTAATTGTATGTGTTGACAGGTATCACTGTGACATTTTTATACAAACATATATCATGCTTTGATCATGTTTACCTTCTCTTCTACCTTCTCTTTGCTTCCTCTTAGCTAATTAAAAAGTCTATATTTGCACTGGAGTAATTGGCTCCCACTTTGTGTTGTACGTTTTATGTTTCTAATAATGTACAGTGGCCTGTACCCACCATTACAGAAAGTGAGTCTGCCTTTTTACTTCTAGGAAGCCCTTTGTACCATGGACACGAATTCATCTCTTAAATTCTTCTATTTGGTTGAATAGGCTCTGAACTACCATCAGGGCAAAGGAGGACATGTAGACGGAGAACATGGGAGTGCATTCAGCCCTCACAACCCTGTGCGAGTTGCCTTCGATGGCACCCCCTGCATTCTCTTCTGGGCCAGAAGAGTCACAGTGACATATCAGAATGAGACCTGGCTGGACCTTACAGATGGAGCCTTTGGTCAGAAGGCAACGGTGGATGCACGCAACTCCAACTGCGGTGGAGAAAGTGCCACGTGAGTTGATCTCTGCCTGAGGAAGAGTCTGTTAGCTGTGAGGTCCGGGGAGGGGTCCTTGCAGTCTCTCAGCTGTGTGCATCCGATCTTTTGTCGTTTCAGAAAAGAAAAGTGGACTCCTTTGTTTATGACTCTGACATTCATCCACCTTTGAGAAAGTGTCTAATATCTAAGCGAAAGGAGAAATCAGAAGTTATTCTGTTATTTTTGTTTTCTGGAATTTATTTTTAACTCCTTAGCTAATTATCATAACTTAGGGGAAAAGTGAATGTTTTAAAAACCAGGATTTTCAAACTCATTTTTAAAAGAGAAAAGAAAAGGATTTCAGGCATGCTCTCAACTCTGAATGTTAGTTATCAAACTAATTTTGTTTCAGCATGGAAGAAATGATGTTACAGGGTCATCCATGCGCTTGGTGGGTGAAATCGGAGCCTCTCTAGCAAGGGTGAATGTTTCTCTCCGGGAGGGGGAGCTTTCTGAAGCCATGGAATAGTGCCTCTTTGCAGACTTGCAAGGGTGGCTTTGGCCAAATTTCAGAGAATTCTTTAGGACATTTCAACGTGATTTGAATAATCAGTTTTGGTTTGAGATAAGGAGATTAAACAGAAAACCCTTCCAAACAACAAATCAATTTCCAATGCTTTTCTCAGCTTTCCAGTCATCCAAATAAAACTTTTTTTGCAGTTACTGGTTTTGGTCCGGGGGGCGGAAATCGGACACGCCCCACTCGTGTTCTGTAAGCCTTCTTTTCAGTATTTGCTGCCATAGTGCAGGCTTTGGTATGACTCTCTGCATTTGTTCTGGCCTGACTTAGATGGGTAGGAAGCTTTGTATAATAACGTGTGCGTGCATATGTGGGTGTGTATGAATGTGCACATATGTGTATTTGTGTTATACTTTGTGTACTTTGACTGGAAACATCTTTTTATTCCTTAACTTTATTCCACATTTAAATAGTTTTAGTTATGGGTGGAAATGGATTATATTCATATTAGGAGTTTTAGTGTCTTGCTCATTAGAATGAATATCTCTTAATAGGGATTTAGGGAATCTTGAGTGTAAGCATCTAGAATCCTCCCAGATTTGTTTATCCCATTACAGCACAACCATCAAAGACTGACAAAGAGATGCCAGTGCTGTGGAGAGGGTAGGAGCTTTTCTCAGAGTGTAATTATTTCCCCGCAGAGCCCTTTATCTGTGGTCAGCTGCAGAGAAAGAGGCCGAATGCCTGGGGATAACATTCCCCGACCGTGGCCCCCTGGCCCACCTGGGCTCCGTTTATCCTGACCCCAGGGTATTCAGATGGGAAATCAGAGCACACAGCTTTGAACTGGGCTTTGACAACCATCATGATCGCTGAGAACCTACAGAGGGAAAGAACAAAATCTTGGCTTCCAGGCTTAGCTCTACCAGTGAGCTTTCCGACTGCAAACAAGACCAGCAGGAGTATCATCTGTCAAATGGAGGTAACCATATCTGTCTTAGTCACTTTCCTCATCTCTGGGGTGGGGCACCTGACACCAGCAACTCAGAGGAGGAGAAGGTTATTTTGGCTCACGCATCAGTCCATACTTGGCTGGGTCCAAGGCAGGATAGTATGGCAGAGGTGTTGAGTGAGGAGAGCTGCTCATGGCTTGCTGGCCAGGAAGCAGAGAGTGAGAGAGGAGCCAGGGAGGGAGACAGTCCCTTGAGACCACGCCCCCAGGGACCTGCCTTTTCCTCCCATACACAGATGGCAAAGAACTCAAGGTTCAGAGAGGTTAGGAAACTTGGAGCAGCCTCCCTGTTTCTATGTCAATAGAGCTGGGGTCTGAAGTCTTTCTGTTGGCCCTATCTCAGGTATGAAAATCAGGTGAGAACATTGTCTTAGTCACTTTCTCATCCCTAGGACACAGCTTAAAGAGCGTATGTTCGTCACAGTTTTAGTCCGTAGCTGGCTGACTCCAAGGCAGAGGGCACGGTGGAAGGGCCTGGGGGGAGCCAAGCTGCTCACATCATGGTGGCCAGGAAGCAGAGAGAGAAGGAGGAACTGGGGAAGGGGATACAACCTTCAGGGTCACCCCCACGGTGACTGACCTCTTCTAACCAGGCCTCTCTCAGCATCACATTTAGCCATTTCCCCCCATAATCCAAGCACCTGCCAAAAGCTCCCCTTTGGAGCGTAGGACGCTCTGGGGGACATCTAGGTACTAACCACATCAGGTGTGTTTGCATGAGCACTCTGAGGCCTTATCCAGTGGCACTCAAATCAGCAGTGCCCCCTTCCTCCTAGCACTAGTGACACTCTTTCCGCAGTGACTGTCTCAGCGTGGGAGGCTGCCTGCTACTTGCTGGAGAGGATTCACAAGCTTTGGTTTTCATTGTCCAGGGACAAACAGTTAGGCAGGAAGTGATATTTTGTGTTCTTGGCCACCATCCTAGAATTCTTCTCAGGTGTGAGCCCTGACCCACCTCCAGGAACCTGCTCAGGGGACTGGGGACACTGGGGACACCAGAGTCCCCGGCGAGGTGAGCAAGAGGCTCCCCAGGAACTGAGGCCTTTGAGGCCCAGCTGCTGACTTTCTGTGGCCAAGTGCCTTGAGCTGCATAGATTTGTGAGATGCTTTTGCCCTGTTGGAGAGGAGATCGTGCATGTGAAAAAACCAGAATGGGAGTTCCTGGGAGAACAAACTTGAGTGCAGGCACAGCCATGTAAGGCCAAAGGCATGGATGAAAAATGTGATGACCACGTTTTAGCTCTTGGAAACCAGAGCAGGGAAAGGCAAATTTGGCAGACAGATTTGCTGCGGAAGTCTTTTTAATAGTGACAGCTCTGAAAATAGAACACAATCCCAGCGTCTGTGTATATTTTATATTTAGATAATTATAGTTTGAAGAATTCAGAATCTGTTTTAAATGTGCAAAAGTAGGACACTAGAAAGAGTAAGAAAAGCTCGCCCTTCTCCAACTCTTGCCCTACACTGTCACACAGGGTGTGATCAAAACATATAGTGAATGTTTAAATAAAAACTTCACCATAGTAAAAGAAACATTTCATGAATCCACCTCAGCAGCCTCGCCCTTGCTTTATACACACCACCCCATCATCCCGGCCCCTTTCTGCAGCAGTTCTGAAAGTCCTCTTTCCTGAGGGTCTTTATAAGGTGTGATCAAAACCATGATGGAAGGGCCGAGGTTTTAGCTCTGGTTTCGCCGCCTGCTGTGCAAGTGCAAGGACCCGAGTTTGATCCCCGGTACCAAACCCCCCCCCCCAAAACATGATGGATGCAGCTGTGGAGCGCCATCCAATGGGAAGGCAGGCTTATAACAACGTGACTGTGTCCTCGCCCACCTTATTCACTGGGTCTGGCACTTCTCACAACTTCTGGCTCTTCTCCAATGTCAAAATGACCATGAAAGGTAAATATTTTGAGCTGATTCAGGACCTCAAGGCAGCTGAGACACCTTTAGCTAAAGGCACTCAGGAAAAGGGTCTAGCGGAGCTGCTGCAGAAAGGGCAAACTGAGATGACTGAATTCAAAGGGAGGATTCTGCATGGGATTAATGGCAATGCGTCTTTTAGCGTAATCAATTTCAAAAAGATTTAAAGACCGCATTTTTACAGTCCTAGTCAATGGCGTAGTGCCTGGCACCTCAGAGATCTTCGCTGAGTGAACACTGAATTTTCCTTGTTGATGGCAGGCCTCATGTTAGTTCCCCCCAAAGCGCAGCGTGTTGGTCAGCTTCCGCTGAAACCAGCAGTGTTTTAGAAAAGTCCGGAAGCTTAGAGGCTCAGGCTGCTCCCACAGGAGACGGGACAGAGTCTGCGGACAGAGGCTAGGAGGCTCGAGATAACGGTGCTCCCAGGGTTAGTTCATTGGTGGTTGAGCCAGTTTATAATAACCAAGCTCTTCTGGTTCTTTGGGAGAAGTAGAGAAGTTCCTGTCACAAGTAACTAATCACATTTATATGACTCTAGTCAAGAGCTTTACTTGATTTCTTAAAGTATTTTCAGTTATTTGGAGCAAACTATGAAAACACTGTTAGGGAGTGGACCTGTTGAGGGCTTGCTTTACTGAGTCAATGAGCTTAGACAGTGTTTGTCAGTGAGTACATGTAAGGTGTCTTAAGTTGATGATGCCAAGAAATATAAATGTTTCTCTCATCAGTCCTATTTATATGACTTACTTTGTAAACATAACCATATTCCCCCACAAGTAGCAAGATGAACTTCATCCTGACCATTGATATTTATATTTTTTTGATACATGAGATAAAATTAATGAGATTATATAATCAAACCTTTCCACTATTTCATTTTTGTGTTATAATGTATAGTGAGGGGTTACAACTTTTAGACCTTATATTGATATGTCCTTTGTATATTTAAATGTCTGATATTTTCCTAATATAATTATTTATTTAGCTTCTTAGCATTTTTATTTTTTGATTTCATCGACATAGAAATGAAGTACAAAAGGGAAATCCCACTTTTAGGAATCTCCTCAAAGAAAAACCAGGGACCTTTTATTTTCTACTTATTTCTGTGTGTGTTGTTTTTGTTTTGGTACTGGAGATCGAACTCAGGACCTTGCGCTTGCAAGGCAGGCGCCGGAACCACTGAGCTAAATCTCTGGCCCTTTCTACTTATTTCTAATAACAACTTTCCTAAAAGAAGACCTGAAGTACAATAAACTGATGTATTTAAAGTATACCATTTGATCAGTTTTTTTATATGTCTATACACATAAAACTATCCCACAATCAAGACAATAAATATTTTCATCATTGCCCAAATTCTCTCGTTTTCCTTTGCAATCCGTCTTTCTGGCTACTCCCATCTCCAGAAAACCATTGATCTTCTTTCTATCATTCAAGAATAGTTGCATTTTCTAGAATTTTATATAAATATAATCATACAGTGTGCACTTTCTTTTAGTCTGGCTTCTATCACTTAGCAAAATAATTTGAATAATCTTCTATATTGCTCAATGTAGCAATGGTATATTCCTTTCCATTACTTAGTACTATATATTGCAATTCATTTATCCATTCACCTGTTGATGGAAATTTGGTTTTCCTCACAGTTTTTACCTCACTCACCAAGTAAAGCTGCTATTAACATTCATACACAGGTCTTTGTGGCATCATACATTTTTATTTCTCTGAGGAGCCATTCCACCTAGGAATAGAAAAGCTAAATACATGGTGTGAGTATATTTAACTGCCAAACTGTTTTTGAAATTCATTGTACCATTTTATCTTTCGACCAGTGTTGTACTAGAATCACATTGCTTTACATCCTCATCAATGCATGTCAGTACTTTGAGTCATTTATAGGAAAATGGATACACTTTCAGTTCATAATCTTCAGTGAAATAAATCAGACACAAGCTTAAATATTGCATGGTTTCTCTTATATGAGAAACCCAGAGTGTAAATAAAATAAAGTGCAAAATAAGAAGTGGATAACAGGAAACAGAAGATAGATCTTTCATAAAAGAGAAAGGAACCAAGAGGTAGACGGAGGGAAGGAGAAAGAATCATCAAGAGAATTAAGATGTCTTATGCACATGTACTGACTCTGTGTGACGAATGTAGTTATTATGTACTGCAAATATGGACTAAAAATACATTTTAAAATATTTTGTATGGTTGGTAAGAGGCTGCAGACAAAAGATTTTTTAAAGTTTTTGTGTGGTTCACCATTTCCACACAAATTTCCCCGAGAGCTGGGTTAAAATATATGCCTGGACGTTAGTAGGAGATTCGCCTCTGGGAGAGTAAGGGGCTTGGAAACCGAGGAGCACAGAGACAGCCAGGAGCTGGAAACCCCGAGAGACATGTTTGTCTGTGTGTGGTCACATTTACTTATGCACCATGGTTATTTGACCTGACCTGCAGCGCTTGGCTCCTTTATCATGAGCTATTGCTCCCCTCCGAAGGGTAATCTGCTCTACTTACAGCAGCGCAGCTGGGGTGGGTGTGCGGAATCTTCTCTCTGTTCTTCCCACGGGGAATGCACTGGGCTAAGGCAGCCGGCGTCTCTCTCAGGAGTGAGGAGGGAACCTCTGCCTCTCCTCCATACTAACTTCCAGATTCCTAATTCCGGTGTCCCCACCCCTGTTAAGTTCCTGTTAGAATCTCACTGTGTTGCCCAGGGGGAAGAACTGGATTAACAGGGAACCGAAGTTATTCCATGAAAAAGTAACATTCATCTGTCTCTGATCTGGGAAGCTTTATTCCAGGAAAATGTGAATAGGAATGAAAAACTTATGATTCCTATTTTTAATTATTTTATCATTCCTTCCTCTGTATTATGATAGCATATCATGGTTTCATTATAGATTTTCCTAATATTGAATAATGCCGATCATCTTTACACGTACTTATTGGGTGTTTTTTTGTGGTTTTTTGGAGACAAGTTTTCAGTATGTGGCCCAGCTGACCACAAACTTGTGCCAGTCTTCCTGCCTCAGTTTCCTGAGTGCTGGCATTTAAGGGTGTGCCACCATGCCTGACCATTTACTGGCTATTTGTGTGTCTTTGTTTATAAGTGCCTGTCCAAGTCTTCTGTTTTTTAATTTAAGAAGCAAGGTTTTATTTATTTATTTATTTATTTATTTTCAGAATGCTTCTGCAGTTTGCACTGCAGTTTTCTTAAAGTCTTCTGTTTCCAAGTCGGATTGTCTTCTTAATGAATTGTTGAGTTTATTATATTCTGGATAAAGTCCTTTGTGTGTATGTACTGCGAATATCTTCTGTTGTGTCCTGCCTGTTGTTTTCTTAGCATTGTCTTTTGAAGGTCAAAATGTTTTATTTTAATAAAATTCAACTGATCCGTTTTTCTTTTATGGCTCATGCTATTGTATGTTTTGATAGAATTGCTTCCCCCTAGACTGTATAGATGCTCTTTGGTAACTTCGTGCTGTAGGTGCTAACGTTTGGGTCTGTGGTCTGTCCCGAGGTCCCGTCTGTGTCAGTGGGGGGTCTTCCTAGTTTTGATGGGCAGTATTGCTTCTCTTTCCCTAGGCTGTCTCTGAAGTTCGGTGATACTGAAAATCAAACAGCCCTTGCTATAAGGTATGTAAGTACTGGGCTGGAGGACTGTGGTTTCAGCACTTCTGATGAGCTCTGTTAAACCTGTTCATTCCACACGTGAGTATGGAGGGCTTGGTTTGTGCTGAGCACTGTGATGGGTGAAGTGCGCTCCCCGAGGTGTGTGATGGGGTCCTCAGACATGCTTTCTTTAGGTCCCGGGGAACTTTCCCTCCTCCTCCTCCTCTGCAGGGAGGAACCACAGCACACAGGAACCTGAGAATGCAGTTGTCATTTCCTTGGCACAAAGAGGAAAATAGAAATAAGGCTCAGAGCCAAATCTACAGAAAAAAGGCTCTGTAGTCAAACTTGTTTGGAAATGATGGCAGGACACATCTTCCTCTTGGAAATGCAGGGTGTAAATTTATACATTCAGGCTTCTGAGAAGATGTGCTCTTCAGGAAGCCTGCTGCACTCATAGCTTGATTTACCTCCTGATGCCAGTGTTGAAGCTTGGGAAGCTTTCTTCTTCGGGCCCCTGCCTGCACATCCTGGGATGAAAGTGTTTCCTTGCTGGCCATTTAGAACATACATGCTTTCATTTCAGAGCAACGATGTAAGGAAATGACATCCCACTAGGTGACCAAGCACATATTCATATCTGATAGAGAAATGGGGAGTTTTTTGAAAGTGTACTAAAATATAACCATCCATAGAAGCTGTAATTTAATCTAAAACACAACAATCAGGAGTTGGGTTAGTATATTATAGGTTTTAGCTTTGAAAGCCAGAGAAATCAGTCATCCCAGTTTTTTTTCCTATAAAAGATCCAGAAGTGGGGAATATTTCTGGTTCACAACAGCACAATTTTCCAAATGGAAAATAGCATTATAGTAATTATTATTATTAATATAATAAAAGTTTGTAGCTGATGCTGTCAGCACCTCACATAGATCGAACTGGGCCTTTCCATTGGATAGCATGAAGCCTCGTCTATATAACTTTCAGGTGCCATCTCTCTCGAGCCTAAAAGCTTCCTCTGGCCCAAGGGGCCCACATCCGCATCCTAGTCTGGAAGGGATTCAATACTTAGGTCTCCTCCCTTGGGGCAGGCAACTTGGAGCCTGGTTGCTCTGCCCCACGGGTGCGAAGCCCTCTCATCCATAGTGGGTATTCGCTCAGCACGCGCCTCCTCTGGCTGCTTCCCTCTCCGGTGGCATTTCCTGGCCCTTCACTCCCCATACTGTCGGTGGCTGCGTTCCCCCAGGCCTTCTTGCATTCACATCCTTGTCTCACAGCCGGTTTCTGAAGGGCCCCAAACTAAGACAAGAGAAAGCACTGAAAACGGAAAAATCAGGAAGTATTACCTGTAAGAAAAGACAGAGTGGCCAATAACCCACCCCTCATTCCCAGTCACCACTGAGGCTTGATAACCCCATCCAGTCTTCTTTCTCTGCAGTCACCCATTTTTTTAATTAAAAAAAGATCATGGCTGCGTGTGTTATAACTCTTTCAGGGATGGAGAATTTCCATCCCGAAGCGGTGAAGGCCAGACTGAAGCCCAGCTCTGATGCACTCTTGGAGAGAGCTTTCACGAGTGCTGGGTCTTCCTGTGGGAAATGACGGAGACAATACCACCTATGTCTCAGCGCTGGAGCTAAGATGAAATAAAATGCACATGCACGGTGCGGTAAAAATGGTAAATGCTTTCATTTTAAAAAACTATTAGAGTAAAAGATACACTGCCCCCCAGATGCTTAAAATACTCCGCCTTGCTGTGAACACGCTTAGCCCATCGTCCTTGGCAGTGTCTTTTACTGTGATACATTTTTAATAACGTAAACATTTACTGTTTTCCGATCGTCCCTTGTAACAACGTGGAAGGGTAATGACACGCAGTAGGAGAGCTTTCCTGGTACTTTAAACCACGCTTCCCTCGTGTGCCGGTGTCCGTTTAAGTTTTCTCAAGTTCCTGATGACCACATGACCCCGCCGATCCCGTGTCCCCAGAGACGCGCCGCTCTCCGGCTCCCGTGCAGGGTTGGCCTCGTTTCTGTGCCGCCTGGGCTTTCGCTTCCTCCTCGCCCTGGGTCCCGAGCCCGTTCCCCGCGTGACGACAGGGGCGCCCCGGGTGTCCCGCGTGGGCGAGCGTGGGCAGGACGCCCGGGCTGACGCCAACGCGCGGTCCTTTGCAGGTTCGTCCTCAGCCACCGCGAGCCGCCCAGCCAGAGCTGGTTCAGTCTGCGCCGAGTGGAGATCGTCCTCAATGGCTCGGTCCGAGCGGCCTTCAGCGCCTCCGGCGTGAGCGCCCCGGCCGGCCGGTCCTACCGCTGCCACCGCGTCAGCAGCCTGCGGCAAGGCGCGCTGCTGCGGCCGGGCCACCAGGGGGCCGGCGCTGGCCCGTGGGCGCTCACCCTGCTGGACCTCCAGGTAAGGCCGCGCGGCACACCGGGGTCCAGCACACCGAGCTTGCAGGAAGACGCTCCAGGAGAGATGCAGAAGGAGCGGGAGGCCTCGCAGCCTCGGCAGTGTGGAGCTCTTCTGGGCTGTGAACGGGAGTGGGACGCGCTTCCTCTCCCGGGCCGCTGCCACTCTGACGCCTGTCCAGGCGCTGGTGGTGGCGAGTGGCAGCAGGAACAGGCGCTTCCTGCGCCGAGGCTTCCTTCCGGGCAGCCTTCTGGGCAGTCGGCAGTCCGATCCTCCCGGGCCAAGGAGGACGCCCTTCCAGTGCGTGGGCAGTCAGCGCAGGGCCGCGTTAGGCTCCGACTCCCAGCACACTCGGGAGTCCCCTGTGCCGCCCGGCCGTAGTTCTTCTCCACACTTGATCTCCAGAACTCTTCTTAATGCTGTAGCATGGCTCTCATTGTCCCTATTTTACAAAGGAAATGAAGCCCCGATCCCCTGAAACTCTGATCCTTCCCAGTTCTTCATAGTGATATAGCTGGTATATGGTAATGGCAGAACCCAAATGTATGAACATTTACACACCGCTCTTTAGAAAGGGTGCAACAGAAAGGGCAGTGAGGAAAACAAAGAAGCATTCACGTGTGATTTTACCTCCTAAGAATAGGAGTATTGATCCATACCTCGACCTCCTCCTAGAAATGTTATCTGTAGAAATACTAGAAGAAAAATAATCTTGAAAAATGGATAAACTACTTCCCACCCATGAGAGTGGCTATTATTAAAAACAACAGCAAACAAAGAGAAAGTAATATGTTGGCAAGGATATGGAGCAATCGCTTTGCTGGTGGGATTGTGAAATGATCCCAATGTGTAGCACTCTGTGGTCGTCTCTGAGCACATGGAGTTTCCTAGAGATCGAGGAATTCTACTTCTGAGTATATCCCCTAAAGAAGTGAAATCAGGGACTCGAACAGATTACTGTTCAGTACAGTCATGTTCATAGCAGCATGAGTCACAAAAGTGCCTTTCAGTGGAAGAACATAGAAACCAAGCCTGTATTTACATGCAGTGGAATGTTATTCAGCTGTAAAAAGGGAGGGCATTGGAATACTGGTAGGCTGTGAATGAACGCTGTAGACATGCTAAGTAGCATAAGCCAGGCACAAAAGGAGAACGATATGCTCCCACTTGCATGGGCACCTACAGTTATCACACTTGGGGAATGAGGATGGCCAGGAGCTGATGGGAGGGGATGGGGAGTTACTGTGGAAAAAGATGTGGGGGAAAGGAAAAAGAGAAAAAATGAGTTCCAAACCTGCAGTAAAGCTGAGTCACCAAGCCACATGCCTGTCCATCTGCAGCAGCTTAGTGTGGCTTAGGGATTTCGCTTAGAGCTTTGGAGCAGTCAGCAAGAGAAGGAAACACGGGGTTGCAGGTTCACGGGGTCCCTAAGACCCCACACAATCTGCGTGTATGGACGACCTTCCTCCCTAGTGCTGTGCCCTGTGAATCCTCAGCAGGGCTCTCTCAGCACCCTCAGCATCACACGGCATGGCTGGGCTTGGTGAAACACTGTAAGCTGGACAGATGCTTGGGCTGAGGGCGAGGGCTGTGTGCAGGTTTGGGCCCGGCTCCCGAGGGCCACCCCCTGCACACCCTGGACACCCAGTCCACCTTGCTCACAGGGCTCCCTTGTGTACTGCAGTGCAGTGTTTTCGTGTAGCTTTCCGTGTGCTCCAGACACCTCCAGGTGGCGGCCAAGGACCAGGTGAATGGTTGTTATACTCTGATGCTCAGACAGCGATGGTAAGGGAGGTTGGAACACGTTCAGCACACTGTTCTGCATACCTTCGACGGTGGCTGAGTCCCCATGTGGGGCCTGGGGATGGGCTTCGGGTGTCCAGGGGTCAGAGGAAGGCCTCTTCAGGTCAGAGGCCCGGGAAGGGGAGGCAGCCACATGGGGTCAGTGCAGCTGGCAGTCCAGGACCGTTTCCCTTCTTCTACAATTGGACTGCAGCTGGCTTGTGCTTTGAAGTAATGCAGGGTCACGGTGGCTGATCTGGCTTCTCAGCAGCAAATTCTCAGGATGGATTCTTACTGGAAACTCTCAGGGTGTCTAAAGGCTGGGCTGGGAGAGGCTCCCCGCGAGCCCTGAGGAATGTCTGGATGGCCAGTCCGGGATGCAGGCAGCTCACTGCCAGGCTCTCAGAGTCCTGTGAGGAGCCGGGGTGCAGTCAAGTGGGCCTGTCATTTGTCCTGGGAGCACGCAGCTCTGCAGGTCCCGGTCTGAGGAGAGGCCAGGCCAGCCTCCCCCAGAGGCCCTTTGGGCTGCAATCTGAAGCATGGACGACTGGCAAGCAAGGCCTATGGCCTGATGAATGGGCACAAGGATTTCACTATGGAAAATGCTAAAATGCCCACTTTAAGCCATGGAAAGGATTTCTCTCTTGAATTTTTTTTTTTTGGTGGTACTGGGGGTTGAACCCAGGGTCTTCACCTGAGCTACATCTCCAGCCCTTTTTTATTTTTTATTTTGAAACAGGATGTGGCTAAGTCATTAAGTTGCTCTGGCTGGGCTCGAACTTGTGGTCCTCCTGTCTCAGCCGCCCAGAGTGCTGAGATTACAGGCGTGTGCCACTACACCAGGCTAACTCAAGTTTTGTATGTGTCCTTTAAAATCCGAGCAGGTGACTGGCTGACGTGATGCTGTGCAGGGTTTTACCCCATAAAGCCAGCCGAGTGGGGGAAAGAAGGTACTGTGGGGCCCAGCCCTTCCACTGGAGCGACTGTACGCGGACAGCAGGGCCTGTTGCCGGGTTGAGCCTTTTCCGATTCTGGGGACTCAAGCTGCCTTATTTGCACACGTGACACCTATCCTGCTTCGTGCACAGTATTCTGGGAGGGCCAGGCTTGGCTCCCCACGAGCAGCCCGTCCTATTCGAGGGCTCACTTTCTGTGGCTTCAGTTACCTCAGCCAGCGTGAAAATATTAACAGAATTCCAGAAACAGTTCACGTATTTCACACCACTTTATTACAGGATGTTATTATGATTGTTCTGATTATTATTGCTGATCTCTTCCTGTGCCCAGTTTGTAAATGGAACTTTATCATGGGTGTGCACAGGAGAATAACCAATCCAGCCATCTCCTGGGAGTCTGTGGCGACTGAACATAGGACCCTGTGCTCCTACTGTCCTGAGTCGGTCAGTGCTTGAGTCCCTTAGAGAAGATGGCACAATGTTCATAGAACCTCTTCCCATGCACGGTTCTTGTAAATTTTGATTAGTGCACGCTTGGATGTATAATGATTGCATATCTCACAGGGGCTAGTACATGAACTACAACATCTCAATTCCTTTTTCAGCCCATCTTTTTACATTCCCTTTGCCTCCCCGGTCCGACTTTCCTCCCTCTCATCCCCCTTCCCATTTGGAAAAGTTTTATCTCTCTGTCTCCTATTAGCCATCTTTTATTTATATTATCTTTTTTTTTTTTTCTTTTTTTGGTACTGGGGATTGAACTCGGGACCTTGCACTTGCGAGACAGGCTCTGGAACCACTGAGCTAAATTCCCGGCTCTTATTTATATTATCTTTATTTATACTTTCAGTTGCTCATATAAAAGAAGCCATGTCTGATTTGTGTCACTCAGCGTACGCCCAGTGTCCTACAAATGATTCAAGTTTTTCCTTCTTTATAGCAGAGTAGTGCTCTATCTCTAGGCTTCTTATAATATTCAATGCAAAGTAAATGCTACAGAAATAGTCATTGCACTGTATTATTTGGGAATACAGAAGAGAAGAACAAACACAACTTTTAAAAATATTTCTGATCTGCACTTCCTTGGATCCACTCGTGCGGAGCCCACAGCTATGGTGGGTTTGGTTTGCTTTGCGGTTCCACGCATCAGTGGGGGTCTCGGAACACCTCCCTTGCATATAAGAGGGGACACTGTGCACCTGACAGCATGGAGAGGAGGTGATGGGGAGGAAGAGACAGAGGGCAGCAGGAGCCACAGGGACGCACTGGGTCTCAGTCCACGGCCAGAAGCCTGGAGTCACATTGTACCTTCACGGCTTGTGCTGCTGTCCTGTTATGTGACACCTGGCCAGTCGCTTAGGCCCCTGTGCCTCAGGTTCCCCCTCATAAAGTAGGAGTCCCTTGGGGACTGGCTTATGGGCTCCTGAGGGTGCTAAACAAGACGGTGTGGATCAGTGTGAGCCTTTATTTTTCCTTGTTTTGCCTCGCTGGGAATCGTGACATCCTCCCCGTAAGACTTCCTGGTAGGAGAGGCAAAGGCCGGGCCCTGAGGCATGAAACCCTGATGGGACTTACCGTGCTCGGAGCATGCTGTGCCCTGGGGGCTCACCACGGCAGGTAGGGCTTGACACGGAGTAGAGTGAAAGAGCTTTCCTTCCAGAGCCTTGGATTTCACCGTGACACCCCAGGTCCTGGTACTTGGGGGTCAGTCCTGGTTTAGAATCAAGTTTCTCGGTCCCATCAGCACAGTCGTGGTCATCAGGTCACGGGCTTCAGTTGTGCAGCAAATGTGTGAGAAGCAGCTGGGGGACACGGGCCTCTGCAGGGAAGGCAGGTCACGGCCATCTTCTTTCTCCTGACAGATCCAGGGCTTTGCCGTCCAGGGCGGGCGGTTCGCCGAGGCCAGAGACTGTGCCCCCTCCTGGTCGCCGGCCGTGCTCCTCGGCCTGGCCGTGTCTCTCATCCTGCTGCTGGTGCTGGCCTACGCCCTGCACATGCTCATCTACCTGCGCTCGCTGGACCGGCACTACGAGTTCATCACTGCCTCCCCTGCCCACTTCCCCCAGCTTCGGGCTCACCGAGCCTCCGAGGAGAAGGAGCTGCTTGGGAGCCAGGCCCAGGAGAGCTACGAGCTGCAGAGCCTGCAGATCTGCAAGATCTACGTCTAACAGCCTCCCTGCTCCCCAGTCCACAGCGGGTCCTGCGGCAGCCTCTCTTCTGTGCTGATGGACTTGTGAATGGCCTGATTAAACCAAGCAAAAACTGGGCCAGGGATTTAGCTCAGTGGTTCCCGGTGCCTGCCTTGCAAGTGCAAGGTCCCGAGTTCTATCCCCTGTACCCCCCGCCCCCCCAAAAAACAAGCAAAAATGAGAAAATGAAATGCGTAAGGAGTTAGCTTTGCGGCTTCCCCTTAGATGGACGGGCCAAGGAGAAGGCCCTGCAGGGGTTCTGCCTTGAAAGTGAAGAGATGGTATTTCTGGTTAGATGACGGGGAGGAGAGAGATGAAACACGGACAAAGGAAAACAAAACTTACTGTGGCTGTGATAAGACTAGAAATAATAAACCTAAGGTTATCCGACACAGAATCTGCTTTGTAACGTACTTTGAACTTTTCAGAAATTGTGTCCTAGTTTTTCTTAGAAAGTAGTCTTCCTTTTGTGGAGCCTTGAGGGACAGCGCCTCTCAACCCACTGGAGCGCCTTGGGGAAGGTCTTCTCGTCGTCCCATGAGCCTCAGAAGCAATGCCGTCCCTCCGTGCAGCGGGAGTAAGGGCCCACTCCACAGTGCAGGGTGCGTCTCCCTTGCCTGATGCAGCCCCTGGAAGCCCTCCTGGCTGCACTTGACACAGCCGTGAGCTAGGTAGGAACGGTGACTTGCTCCACCAACACAGCTGTGAGACAAAGCTCTAGTCCCCTTCCTCAGAGGGCAGAGTCCCCCTGCGGATTTGTCCAGAATCCTTTGCAATTCATGGTAGACGCTGCAGACTGATTCTCTGTCCAACTCACTGAAGCCTCTCTAATCACCTCTGTGTTAAAGAACTCATAAACGTAAGCATACATTGCATTTTCCTGTCTCAGTTCTGTCCATGACCCAGGCTCTGCTAAGAGGATATCCCTGCAGAGAGCCTAGAGCCCAGGCAGGAATGGACTGGGGGGTGGCCCGCAGGGAAATGGGCTCCTGTGTGTGCTGTGGGCATGGGTGACTGTCTCGTTCCCTCTTCAGGGGAAGGTGGGTGAGAGAGACCCTCCATATTTACGGCAGAGCAGTCTTATGTTGAACATTTCTTTTGCTGCATCAGTATTGGCCATGAAGGTAGCTTTGCTTCCAGCTCTCAGGATTCTGTAAGATCATAATATTTTATAGTGATTTTCTGTATGTTTTCTTACCTTGGAATTCTGTAGTCTGCAACTAAGAACCCTGATTTATGTAGATGTTAGTGCCAGGATGGTTGCAGGCAACAGACCCAAGGAATGAGAATCTTGGATTAATGATCTGATCCTCTTTGCCTTCAGATCAGTGGAAAATCTGTTAGCATTAAGAGAGTGGTCTGCTGATCTCCCACACCATTCAGGCCACGCCGTTTAGCAGTGAGAGTGAAATTTTCACTGCTGTTGCTTTGGGTATCCAAATGGAAGTTGGAAATAAATAGGCAGAGTCAGTGTATGTTTGATAGACTAGGAACCCTAAAGATAAGTGTAATCTAATTTTTAAAAAAAATTAATTTTATTGGTACATTTTAGGTATACAGTTTAATGAGATTCATCAGTGGAGATTTGTACCTTTACATAATCTCTCTTGGTTCTTATTTAACTAGTGTACTTTTGAAATTGAAAGGGAATGCCCTCACAGATTCCAAGGTCCTAGACGTGGGCGGTGCCAGACAAACTGGGATGGATGGACAGATGACAGGTAGAGTCATCCTAGGCATGGGTGATCCACCATAGGCTAAGCAGATCCTCCTGACAGAACTGGATAGTTTACAAAAAGGAAAGAGTAGCTTCAGATTTTAAATTGACATCTCAAGCCATGTTCAGATGTCTGGGGAGTTTCTCTGACGGATCTGAATGGGATTCCTTACCTCCTGTCAAAGGGCTGACTGAGTTAAAAACCAAACCCAGGTCTGACCTGCAGTATTCTGACCTGCATTGTAGGTGGAATGCACACCTCATCAGGCCTCTTGTATGGGCTTGAGAGCATTGAGGACAAGACAGAAAGTTTGAGAAGAACAACAGTAGCTTTTGGGGAGACTTAGACAACTTTAAGAGTACCGAGTTCTCAAACTCCACACTGTTTTTCTTGCTAGCAGAGCCAGCCCCTGGGAGATGAAGCTGCCCCTGCTTTGCGTTGAAGACCCTGTGGTAACCTCAGTGATCGACACCTGGCCAGGGTGTGCTGCTTTCCTCACAGTCTTTGGGCAGGCAGAGCCGCATTCTAGGCTGTTCCAGGCAGCCCACTGCAGAGTCAGGTCTGGGAGAATAAAATGGCGGAAACAGCAAAAGGTGGGGAGACTACAGGTAGGAATGGATTCTGGAGGTGCTAGTGGAGCAGGAGATGAACTGAATTGTTTGATATGGCTTCTCTTACCAGAGAATAGGATTAAATTTGTTAGAGCATCAGGGAGTGCTGTTTTGCTCACTGTGTTAAAACCCGGATTCTACAAGGGGATAAATGAAACAGAGAGATCAGAAATACCTAGGAATTGTATGGAGAAAGAAATTTAACGACTTAGGGAACTGGGATGTAGGAATGGACTTACAAAGTGTCAACTGCTTCCCCTCTCACTAACGGTTTTCCTTGGTGATGGCTCTGAAGATGTTCTCTTCATCCTGGCACTGAGAAATACTTTGGAACAGCACCTGCCCTGGTGGCTGACCTCTGTAGGCTTGGGGTGAAGGTAGGAGATGCCACCCTTGAAATGGAATCCTTTGTCTCAGTAAGGATCCCAAGATCCTGGGGTGGTGGAGGTCAAAGAGCAGCACAGGAACACTGGGGGGCTGAAGGGCATTCGTAGAGGGAGAAGGCAAACCAAGAAAGAATAGTGTCCCAGCAATCCAAGGGGGAAAAGACTTTCAAGATAAAGGGAAGAGTCAGCTATGTCACATGCTAGAGGAGAGGTGCAGTTAGGAAAGAACTATGAATTGTGTATTTCTTAGATTTGCCCAATAGGAGGTCAGTGATAGACATCATACTCTTTAGAAAAGAGGGAGTAGACATAGCTCAGGGAATGGATTCCCTAGGTTTTCTCCTAGAGTGTGTGCCATGGATTGGTTGCCTGCCTTCTCCAGGGTTCACGGTCCTCCCAGAAGAGCCTCCTCCGTGTGACCCTCCCCTTCTGGGTTGGAGAAACTGCTTTGCTCCTGTGCCTCTGGGTGCAGGGGTGGCGACAGCTCCACTGTCCCCAGCTGCACCTCGCTACACCATCTCTTTGGGCTCTCCTTACCCCACCAGGCCCTTTCCAGATGGCTCTCTTTAAATGAAACCCTCCTTCAATGCCCTAGCCTGAAGGTACTGTCTGATTCCTATTGGGATGGAGCTTTATACAGAGGTTCAGGCAAATTAAACTTTACCTGTTGCTTTGTTGGTTTTAAATCTAGAAGTTGTACAGTTTTTCAGAAAGGATTTAATAATTACAGGCATAATCTCTGGTTTAAGTGCAAAGCGTAAAAAATCACTGCTAACACACTGAATGGACACCCCACCAAGTTGACTGCTTTTCGGTTGGGAGCTGCTGGGCCAGAGGGAGGGAGCCAGGGTATAAGGAAAGGTTAAAGGAGTGGATCCCCTCCGCAGGGAGGGGAGAGATTTGCTGGAGCTGGACCCTCAGTGAAGCCTTGGTGTCACAGGGTTCCGTTCTTGTGGTGACTGCGGAGAGGAAGGAGGCTTTCCTCAGTGGAACTGAGCACACAGAAGGTCACCGCCTTAGGACAGAGTCTTGAACAGCTGTCCTTCTACCCCTGCCTCATGTCTCAGAGATTAGAAAGACAATGAAACCAGTCAAGTGCTGTCTTTTCCATGTGACCTTTTGAAACGCCTGCCTTTATTTCAGATCTCTGTCTGTGTGGTAGAGCTTGCCATGCTTGTATGTATGCTTTTACCCTCTGAGATCAACATTTCCAAGGACCAGGCAGTACTAGAGTAAAACCTCTGATCCTCACAGAATTTTCAACATAGTTTGGATCTTCTGATATTTTTGTTAAGGAAAAACAGGGCAAATATGTAAGTGGGCACATGTAGTAGATACAACAGTTTACTCTTTTGCAACCTGTGCAACTCTGATGCTGGTGACTCGGAACAGAGGTCACCAAATTGTCTGGTCTTAAGGAGAAGTGTCCCTTTACTATGAGGAGTAAGTCTGCTCCTAATGTGCCGAGATCCAGCAGGCAGGTGGGTGGGTGCATGCGTGGCAGTGACTTGCATTCTTGGTTCTTCTAGGTCTGATTTCCTGACGCTGTTGGGTTTCAGTCACTGCTTGGTCCTCATCTCTCTGCATTGCTCTCTGTGCCTGAAGCTCTGCCTGTTGTGGGCAGGGGCATCACAGGAAAGTTGGGGAGTAATAGGAAAATCCCAGCATGGGACACAAAGTAATTCCAGGTTCTCTGATCGTGGAAACCTAATGCTTATTCCTAATTATAGGTCATGTTTGTCTTCTGGTCTTGAATTTTTACCATCTTGTGGTCCTCCCTATGTGTTCCTCTAAGTTCTTTGCATATCGCTCTAATATCATGGACCTACAAACCCTGTCTTCCCAGCCCACAATGAGGGATTTGAAACTCTGTTATGCTGAGCGATTTGAGTCTTTATTAGAACTGTTTTATGGAGGTTGGATCTAAGAATCTCATCTTTTACAGCCAAATGCTTCAAATATGGTATTATGCTCATAGAGAAAAGCCTTTCTTCATAAGAATTTTTTAAAGTCACCCAGCTCAAACTGCAGCCAGGTCAAAAATAACAGCTCTTCATCTGTTGAGTGACCTCTCTCCCATCCATCCCACCTACCTGTCCACCCATCCACAGGTCCAGTCACCTGTCCATCCATCATCCATCCATCCATCCATCCACCCACACATCCATCCACTCATCCACCCCCCCATCCACCCATTCACCTATCCATCCATCCTGTTACTATGTTAAATGAATATGATTTTACAATGTTAAAAACATAAAAGATGTTTGAAAGTCTATAACTTTAGATTATGAAAAATCCACATTAGCTCTTTGATGTAGAAGTTACAGAAAACCTTAGAAAGATGAAGAATTTTTCATTGTTCTTTATAAAATAGTTTACCATAGAGTGCATATTATTATAGTTTCTGGTTAAGGAGCTAAGATTTATTTCCAACAATGATAAAGTGTTTCTTGAACGTTACGATGCTATTACAGTAATAAATGTTTCCCAAAATGTTTTTTTCCACCAATGGCATCATCTTGAGTATCACTGATCACTGGACTTAAAAAATCTATCGTCACATTTATGTGAGGCATTGGGCTTAACAACCTATTCAATAGTTCCCAATTCTCCTCAAGAAAGGCACATTCCCATTCCTGCCTCAGTGAATCATTCTAGTGAGATCTAGGGATTTATGTG